TGATTTTTTAAGATTAATTTTAGTCAGCTGGAGCTGATGAAATGGAAATTCTCAGGCAAAAAGTTATAGACCTGGAACAGGATCTTTTGGATAATAAAAATGAAAATGACGAATTGCGTATAGAACTAGGTAGATAATTTATATGGATTGAATTTTCGTTAATGATTCAACGATTTTTTAGAACGTCTCAAAGAAATTGCCGACGAAAACGAACACCTTGCCAATGGAAAGCTTCACGAAATCGCCCAACTAGAAACTCAACTCGAAAACGTCCGCGAAGAATCAGCCCGTCAAGTTGCCCGCATCAAAGATCGTTGCGAAATCGTTCGAAAATCGACTCAGAACCAAGTGAGCGATCTGGAACGTCAACTGGCTCAGACCAAAGCGAACGCCAGGGCTGCCGAAAAGGACCGGGACGAAATCAGGCAAAAGATGCACGCTCAAATTAGGAATTTGAACGAGAACTTCGAAGACGCTCAAATGAGGATTAGGAATTTGCAAGGGCACGTGAACTTTTTGAAGAACTCTTACTGCAGTCCGCCTGCGATGGGCGATGAATGTATTGAGCAAGCCGACCCTTGCAATTGTGAATAATGAATTTTATAGATTATTTTATGTCTATATTTATTTTTTTGAATACAATTTCAATTTTTTCTCGTTTTTAATGGCACACTTAAAAAACGTCTACAAATTTACCCTCTGTTATTTGATTCAAAAAAAATGAGCCACTGTATAAAGATACAGAGTGATCAATATTTTATTATTCCCGGCTCTTGTAGAAAATCTTCCATGAAAGCTGGTAATCTAAAAAAATTCCACCACTGTGTAAAGATACGGGGTGATCAAATTTTTATTATCCCTGGCTCTGAAAGCCCCCATTCACTGGGCGATAAACGAGCGATCTAGTCGCTTTCGATCAAATTGCCGAAAGATCTCCATGTTACTGCGCCATTTCAATCAAATTGAAAACGATATTCTGGTTGCCAATGCCCAAGGTTGTTTGAAAGAGGTAGGTTGCCTGATAACTTTTATGACGTCATCTGAATGCCTAAACATAATGCAAATCTTCATTAAATCTTTCTGATGACGCCATCTGTTTACCATTACCTTGACAACCTATTAACTTTAGAACTTTGGCCAATGCCAAGCAATCTTTTGATTTACAGAGCGGAAGGTGAATCGGGTTGCGATTGCCAGCAACTTGCCAGACATTCGAAGATAATTTTTGAAATCATCGTCATGTTCCGTTCCAAAGTTCATGAATGAGGAAAATATGAGAAAACAGAAAACCGCTTGCTTTGAAGCAACCAATTTCTACTCCAAAACCGCCTCTATTTCTTTTTTTGTCGTCGTTGCTTTTGGGTTAATCTCACCAAGCCCTCTTTACTAAAAAAATAGCAACTGAAATTAATTTCCAGAGAGATTGATTGATGACCAAATTGCTTGAATGTCGCCTAATAAATGGGCCATTCCGGAGCAACCCAATTTCCAAGAAATTTAGAAGCAATTTTATCGATCAACTAGGTTGCGGCAAAATCGCCCAGTGAATGGGGGTCTCAAATGTAGAAAATCTTTCACGAGAGCCGGTAATAGAAAACAATTTTACCCACTGTAATTTGACTCAACAAAAATAAGCCACTGTAAAAAAATGCATACAGACATAGGCGCCGGAACCATGGGGGCAATGGGGGCTTCAGCCCCCGTAGTGAATTTGCTATGGGGGCAGAGCCCCCATAGTGATTTTAGTATTATATGTAGTGGGTAGGTAATGGTTTATTTCACGATAGTTGATATCGAGTTAATGACTGCAATAAAACTACCCATTGTATTCCCATTGTGTTCATGGCCGAGCTCTTTCAAAACGTGCAGGTATATAGTTAAAAGGAGTCAATCATTTATTGTGAAAAATACTTCACAAAAATATTGAGTTCCTTTTTATTTTTATATTAAACTTGTGTGTTTTATGTTTTTGTTGTTTTTGCTATACCTATAGCACGACCAGCAAGAATTTGCTGCCGGCAAATATGCGAACTAATATTTTCGCATCTCGCGCTCTATTCCATATCGTTTTTCCTCCCCCTTCACTTCAGACCGAAACGCACTTTTCACAGTTGCCAACCTTTACTCTAACAAACAGTTTGAATATTTTGTTGTGCAGTATTTAAACCTGTATTTTCAATAAGTCGTTGCATTATTATTTCCTTTCCGTTTGTTTTTATGATAGGTATGTTTATATCACATGAATATATCCGGCAGAGCTGCAAGAATCACTTCCTGCAAATTTCCCTTCCTCCCAAGGCAAAATATCCTGGCTACGCCGATGGTGCTACCGAAGCCGGGTATAACTGCCGAAGATGCACGAATTTTAATAATATGTAGTGAAATGGGTATCTGTCAACTATTCCCATTTAAGTCTATGTGTCTAGTTGCCTAGTCCTGTTTGTCTAATTCATTCTACTTATGTTAATTTTTGGAGCCCGAGCGCCCATAGTAATTTTGAAATTCCGGCGCCAATATACAGAGGTATCAATATTTCATTATACTCGGCTCCTGTCCTGTAGGAAATCTTCCGCGAAAGCTGGTAATTGAAAACAATTCCACCACTGTGTAAAGATACGGGGTGATCAATTATTTATCCTCCGTAGGTACTTTGATGCCCTATAGTTGCGGCTCTGGACAGAGAAAGTACTGTTTTCGTACATTTTTCAGATATCTGAAAGATGTGGGGTGATTCCCCCAAAAAGTACCATAGTCGGCCTTTAATAAAATTAGGTACCAAACTAGAGCAGGCGCGGATCCAGACCCAAATTGAGGGGCTGGCCATACAAAATATTGGAAGGTACAGGGTGTCTGGTTATAATTTGACACCCCATCTTTATAGGTAGATGATAGGTGTGGTAAACACAAAAGTGGAGCAGTTTTTAGCTAAATTATTGTCAGAAATTTGAAATTTTGCGTACTTTCAACTTTTTTCAAATAGAATATTTGATTCTATATTCTTGAAGAGCACAATTTTCCGATTCCAAAAATATATAGTTTCTCTAGATTTAATTGAGCCGTCTCTACCATATTTGGCTTCAAAATTTTTAAAAATACCATCAGAGAAACCAAGTGCCTCAAATTTCACCTGAAGCTTTCATCAGAATGGCTCACAAAATCGTCAGTGTGATAGTATTTTTCCAATTTTTAGAGCCAAATATGTTGAAGGCGGCTCAAACAAATATAGACAAACTATATATTTTTGGAATCGGGGCATTGTGCTCTTCAAGAATAAAGAATAAAATATAGGGCATCCTATTTGAAAAAAGCTGGAAGCATGCAAAATTTCACATTTATGACATTCAAATTTTGTTTCTGACTACGGTTTCTAAAAATTTAGCCAAAACTGTACAACTTTTTTATTTACACCTTTCTTCTACCTGTAAAGGTAAAGGTTGTAGGTGGGGTGTCAATATATATATTTAAAAAAAACACCCTGTATAAAGTGCATCTTTTGATGGGTCTCCCAGTGACGTCATAATCTTGCGAAATGCATTTTTAATCGATTCTAGGCGCTTGAAACTCTACTCAATTGTTTTGCCAAACGCCTGGAATAATCACAATTTGGTTCAGAAATGAGTCAAACTAATTCTAAGTCTCAAAAAAGTTTCAATTGCACCCAATTGACGTCATAAAGTTACCTTTTACTAGATAACCTTGTACAAAGTGCATCTTTTGATGGGTCTCCCAGTGACATCATATTTTAGCGAAATGCATTTTTAATCGATTCCAGGTACTCGAAGATCGACTCAATGGTTTTAAATCATAGTTGGTCATGCAATGTTGCCAAACGCCTGGAATAATCACAGTTTGGTTCAGAAATGAGTAAAACTAATTCTGAGTCTGAAATATAGGGCATTTCATTTAAAAAAGTTGAAAGTAGGTACGCAGAATTTCAAATTTCTTACAATAAACTTTTGTTTTTGACGATGGATTCTGAAAATTTAGTTAAAACTGCACAACTTTTGTGCTCACACCTATCACCTACCTGTAAAGGTAAAGGCTGCAGGTGGGGTGTCAAATTATTGAAATTCTGTTATACCGGGTGAGGCACGAAAAACTTTCCACCCAGGTTTTCTCAGGTGTTAGGTGTTTAATCAAAAATCGCTCAGACACGTCAATTTTTGTTTTTTGGGGGACACATTTTATTGGTATTTTCACCCCCTACCTGTGAACCCCTAAGTGGGGGTAACAGGTAACCCCAAAATTTCAAATGGAAAGAGGGATCGAATGATACGTCATTTGGTGTAGCTATTTTAATTGAGACTATATCCCCGAAGTTTTAAGTGGCTACTATTAACCCTGCCGAAATGGCGGCATGTCAAAGTTAGGATAAATGCTTTTTTTCGATTATACAACTCACTGTACATTATTCCCATATGACACGAGAGGCTTAAAAAGTGATAAGCCTTTTGGGATTATCGCGCTTGGTGGCAATATTGTTATTATTAATGATAAAAATTAATAAAGTATTGAAGTTTTGTTCGTTGTATAACCTTTTGAATACCACTCGATGTTTCAGGATTACCTAATACTTTTAGCTGACACTCAACGCGTTACCAGCAACACCACTCCTCCTTCGGAGTCGTGGTGTTGCTGCGTAACGCGTTTCGTGACAAGTAAAGTATTATCCGGTAATCCTGAAACCTCTTGTGGTATTACATTCGATTATACAACTCACTGTACATTATTCCCATATGACACGAGAGGCTTAATAAGTGATAAGCCTTTTGGGATTATCGCGCTTGGTGGCATTTATGGCAAATTCTATTATAGAAATTTTTTTAAATTTTAGAGTTACAAAGTTTAGTTCGTTGTATAACCTTTTGAATACCACTCGATGTTTCAGGATTACCTAATACTTTTACCTGACACTCAACGCGTTACCAGCAACACCACTCCTCCTTCGGAGTCGTGGTGTTGCTGCGTAACGCGTTTCGTGACAGGTAAAAGTATTATCCGGTAATCCTGAAACCTCTTGTGGTATTACATTCGATAATCTAAGCTGTATAGTTTTTACCTGTCACACCTATGCGTAGGTAATAGGTAAAAACCACATAGCATTTTTCCATTGATTTTTCCTAACTTTGACAAGCCGCCATTTCGACAGGATAAATAGTAGCAACTTGAAACTTCGGGGATATAATCTTGATGAAAATAGCTATCAAATGACGTATCACTCGACCCCCCTTTTCATTTGAAATTTTGTGGGTACCTGTCACCCCCACTTAGGGGTTCACAAATATGGTGTGAAAATACCATTAAAATGTGTCCCCCAAAAAACAAAAATTGACGTGTCTGAGCGATTTTTGATTAAACACCTAACACGTGAGAAAACCTGAGTGGAAAGTTTTTCGTGCCCCACCCGGTATATACGGGCCCTGGTAAACCCGGAAAAATTGGTCGATTTAATATTGATTTAAAAAAAAAAACTCTCATCTAGGGGGGGCCATGTCCCCCATGGCCACTCCCTGGATCCGCGCCTGCTATAGAGCCTGGGAAAATCGTTATATCTTTTTATTTAAAAATAACTTACAATAAAATTATAAAACTTGTTTTATACAATAAGAAAAAGTATCAAAAATATATATTAATACATACATATTCACAAAAATATAAAATATTTACAAAAAAAAATTGAGTATTTTGATGAGTTTTCTAGGAAATCCTTTGGACTAGCAACTAAGTGATGATTTCAACCACTGAAAAAAAAATTAATATTATTCATGACTCACAAATTATTCAACTTACCTCTGACAAATTCAACTTGATACTACCATTTTGCAAAGGGTCTTTTGCTTCAAAAATATCTAAAATAATTAAAAAATTAACAAAACAATTATCTTCCAAGTAAGTACTCACTAAAAGCCACAGTAAGATGTAAAATAGCCGAAACAAAATCGCCGAACCTCAGTGTCCCATCTTTCCTCATGTACCTCAAAATTAGAGTGGTCAACACGTCGCTGCTAAGCTGGAATCCGACTTCTAACAAAGCGTCCCTAAACCGTTCGGCTTTCAAAATCCCCGTCTTTTCTTTCGTGTGATTTTTGAAAGCGGTTTGCCAAAATTTTAAACTACACATCAAATCCTTAAAGTCGCTGAACTTTAATCTACCAGTACTAGAATTCTAATAAAAAAAAATCTTATTTTCAAAACCCACCCAATAATCAATTTCCTGCTTACTTCAAATGTGAAAACAATTTGTCTACAAACTTCAATTGAAGCGCAGCTTTTAATATAATCATTGGGCAAACAAGCGTCTAATAGTTCTTGTAGCTCAAACGCATTGACTGTTCTATGTTCGTCTGCCAATTGTAAAAATACGGCTTCGTATTGGCTGAAACTTTTGCCGTCTAATAGTGGAGGAGCCTTAACTATAGCCGATTTCACTGTAACAGAAACTTTAGTATTTTTATTTGATTGTAGAGTGTTTTACCTAAAAATGGCACGGTATCCACAAGTTTCAATTTCAAAGGTTTACTTGAGTACACCCTCAAAGTAAATCCAGATTCTTGCCCAGGTTCAAACGTAGTAGGAATAATCAAATAGCCTCCTTGTTCCAGCTGACATCTGTGACTGACTTGCCTGCTATTAGTGTACTGAGAATTGAACAAAGATTTATTTTTCTTGAAAAAGCCCTTTCCGATGGTTTCTGTGTTGCTTTTAGGCAACGAGTAAGCTGTAAAGCCTATAACTTTAGGTTCCATGATGCTGTGTTGGTTGAGTGAGACTACAACTTCTTCCATTTCGCTGAGCAGTAGATGGAGCTGAGGATTGATGTGGAAAGTGTCGGGGTTGTTTCTACAGCCTCCTGCAGACACGCCTTTTTGCCAATAGCCCTGGTATAGTCTCATTTGCCAAGTATTTTTGTTGTGTAAGCTAAAGAAGTTTTGATTTTAATTGTTTCGGAAATAAGACGTTTTTCAAAAATTTTGGTAGAACGCCCAAAGACTTTACTCTGCATTTATTCACATTCAGAACCTATGTAGGTACAACATGTAAAATATTAACTTCTCGATTTTTTGTCTGAAGAGAAATTTCCAGTTGTGATTGGGCGTGACTCCAAGTCGCTCTACATCAACTGGAGAAGTCAGGATATAAATCCAAGAGGTAAGTCTCTGTATGACTCTATAATAGGTAATAATCTGTTCATATGTAATAACGGCACAATACCAACTTTCTTAAACTCTCGTAGTCAAACTGCTCGCTTAAAACCACAAGACTTTATCGTGACCCAAGGAAAAACAATATTTCACAGTATGTGCAAGGTCTGGAAAGGGCTCTACGAGAGGTTGCAGTTAAAACATTCAATGATGACCAAGAATCGGAGCGGTATGCCAATACCATCCAAGGAGCCATCATAAAATCCTATAAGATGACCCAATGAGGATGTTCCAAAACTCTGGTAACACCTCTACTTGGTGGTGTCAGGAACTGGAACACCTCAAGAAAAGCTTTCAATGAAGCTAAAAACACCAAACTATCTGAGGATTGGATCCTTTATAGGTACCAACTCAACCAGTATAAAAAAGTTGTACGACAAAAACAAAGAGATTCCTAGAGGACATACCGCAACGAAATAGAAAACTATCCGGGAGCGGCGAGACTTCAGAAAGCTCTTAAGAAAGACCCATTCCGGGAAATTGGTATCCTTTGCAAGGAGGATAGGCACCTTCACTGCCAACCTTCAAGAAAGCACAGAGTTACTTGTACTAGCAACCCACTTTCCTGACTCCACAACCACAATTGTGAAGGATCGGACGCAGGTAACATAAATACCCTCTGTGGCTGATTGGCAACTAGCGAATCAGATAATATACGAGGAAAAAATAGGTTTGGCAATTTCAGGCTTCTCCGCCTTCAAAGCACCAAGACCTGACGGCATATATCTAGCCCTACTTCAGTAAGGTCTGAAGCCACTCTTGCCGCACCTGGTAGGGATGTTCAGGGCGTCCTTGACGCTGAGATACCCAAGGCTTGGAGGGAAGTTAAAGTGGTATTCCTACCCAAACCAGGGAGGATGGACTACACCACCCCCAAGGCATATCGCCCCATAAGCCTCTTAATATTTTCTCTAAAAACAATGGGGAGACTATACGACAGGTACATGAGGGATGAAGTGTTGTCAACCAATCCACTCCACCCTAATTAACATGAATATACCCCTGGGAGATCAATGGGCACAGGCCTTCACCTGGTTGCTGGGCGAGTGGAAAAATCGCTGGACAACAAAGAGTTCGCCCTCGGGTTTTTCATCGACATTGAGGGGGCCTTTAACAAAACCACTTTTCAAAAAATTAGCCACTCGCTAACAGAAAAGAATACTCCAGAAACTATTACCAGGTGGGTGCAGGACTTCAACATTAAAGGAATGATCATAAGAGGCTGCCCGCAGGGAGGCGTGCTATCACCTCTCCGGTGGAACGGTTCTGGACAGCCTCATTGTCCGCCTAAACAATAACGTAATCATCTTGCATAGAGGTAAATACGAGAACTCGCTTTGCAAACGCATGCAACATGCTCTTCGAATTATAGAAAGATGGTGCACGGAATACACTCTGCTCTGCATTCTGTCCATCAGCCCCAAAAAGTCTGAAATAGTCCTATTCACAAGAAAGAGGAAACTGGTACCTACTTCCGACAGCATCCAGACTCTTAAACACCGAACTAAGTTTCGCCGCCGAGGTCAAATATCTGGGAGTGACACTCGATTGCAAACTAACATGGAACTCTCATATTGCTTAGAGAAGAAAGCATATATCGCCTATATGAACAGTGTAGACGTACTATCGGTAAGACCTGGAGGTTCTCCCCGAAGGTAGCTATGTGGATCTATACAACCATCATCAGACCTATGCTTACCTATGGGGCTATTGTCTAGGGACATAAGGCCGAACAGACTACCATAAGCCGAAAACTAGACCACGTTCAAAGAATGACATGCCTCAACATAACTGGTGCAATGAAAACCACACCAAGTACGGCTTTGGAAGTAATTCTATGTTTAACGCCCCTCGATACTTATGTCAAGGTCGTTTTAACCACAATGATGCGCTTCCGCACTGTTGGAATAGAACCAAGTGCAGAAGTCGGTTTGCAGAGAGCAGATTCAACTCTAAAAGGTTTCATTCTTCTCCGGTTCAATTTTGGGCATTACATAAGCGCCGGTAATAGAAATTCAATGCCTTTCTAGTTCAAATTTCAGCTGGAAGGAAATTAGATTTTCTCAAAAAAGCTCATCACTTACCTAGGTTCATCTCGACTGGTGTCGCTATCTAAGTGCACTACTTCTATGTGAGTAAACGTTTGCAAAAATTCTGTGTAAGGTATCCAAAATTCCTATTAAAATATTCGTTTGAAAATTGTTAAAAATCATTAAAACTACTCACTTCTTCGTTAAATTTGACCTGTAGCCGTTCATATTCGTGTGGAGGCAATTCCGACCATTCTGGCGAGTCCAAACACATAGGGCCTACATATTCTGTTGGTAATCCTAAAGGGTTTCTTAGTTTCACTAGTTGAACGGTTTCATTGTTGAACGTTTCTACCCTGAAATATTTTATTAGATTTTTTATTAAATTCAGACTAATTCTCACCTATCAATAGCATATATTCTATAGTTGATTCCAGTTTGTATGCCATTAGCTAATTTTTCAGTCATAGAGCGTACTTGATTAGGAGGTTGCACTGCGCAAGTGATTATTGAGGTCATATCTAACAATTTGTGAAGCAACCTAAAAAAAAAACTCAATAAGCCAAAAATTCAACACTTAAGCCAAAATAAGATACCTAGAACATGTTGTAGCATCTTCTGTTATCGGTATACTTTCTGTGATTCCCCCAGTGAGATCTGCAAGTCCGTCCAATAACGAGCCATATTTGAGCGCTTCATACGAACCATGTAATCTGTGGAAAGGTTGCTTTACATTATAACAACTAAGTTGAAGAAATGTATAGTTATTACTTGGCATAAGCTTTCTCCAACAATCCAGGCCAATAATAGTCGGAGTTTTGCGATTGAAGAAAAGCCAACCGTCCGTGGACTGTGGGCAATCGATCGTCTACGAGTACTTCGGTCCATTCTCCGCACCACCACAATCTGAATCTGAACAGTCCGCAATATTGATCGCCGCTGAACGATTGATCTGCAGGTACCACCCTGTAGAAGAGACCTTTGTTGAGGTAGAGTACTCCCAAGCAGGAGACGAGCCATCTATCACCTGGAACAATAAAAATAGGTAATTTGTTTTACTTACGAGCGTACCTCTGCGCCATATGGGTTTGTTGTTTAGCAGCACCAGGTAAAAAACAAAAGCTTCAATTTATTTTGAATTAATTATCAATGTTACATTTTATCTATAGGCTTCTTACACTACCCAGCTCCCATAGTATACCACGATCCAGCTCCAGCAGTCGTTCCAATTTAGACTAAAACTATTGTAGCACATCCAGTACCTCTACACCCGGTACCTCTACATGGATTACATCCATGGTGGTGATAAATTTACAATACTACACTTTATAACTATAACCACTTTTATAATGGACGAAGCAATAATTTAAGGATTGTGAAGGAAGAGGCATTACAAAACTTGCAGGAATTAAAAATGATGAAATCTTAGGGGTCAGTTTGGGAGGTCAAATTTAACATATCAAATAAATGTGTACCGGGAATATAACACTGAAATGCGAAAGGCGATTTGATACCTCTAAACAAAAATAAATAATCGCTTATTTTCTGAGAACAATTAAAAACATGATTTATTTGACCTAAAGATAAATAATAATCACTATAAAAGGCTAAATTCGACGCAATTTTTACATTAGTTCAATACAAGATGCCAATCTACATACTTTTGTTGGTAGCGGCTCTATCTGTTAGTGGTACTGTAGTAAGCCCTGAAGATAATTTGCGTAAAGGAAATGTGGAATTCACTTCAGATTTATACAAGGTAGGTACGCACTTATCTCGTTCGCCTTAAAGAAACTTTTGTTAAATTTATATTTATTTGTAGGCAATAGTAAGAACCAAATCAGCTCAAAACTTTGTCTACTCACCATTCACAGTACAAACGCTATTAGCAATGCTGGCTTCAGCTGATAGTACTGGTAATACTCGGTCGGTTGAGGAGATCAGAAGGGTGGCCCATTTGCCTCAGGACAATCCAAGCACAGAACAGGCATTTCAAAGCATAATTACCGATATGAACAAATCGACCAATGACGATTTCAAGATTTTCGATGCAACTAGGTTTTATTTTGCCATTGGTTATAGCGTAGAGCAATGGTTCAAGGATATCGCTGAGAAGACTTTCCAAGCCGAAATCGAAACTGTCAATTTTGGAGAAGTATGTATATTTTACTTGCAAGTAATTTTATATTGAGGTAGTTTTTGTAGGCTTCCACTACTGCCAGTAAAATTAATTCGTGGGTTGCCAAAAAAACGAATCAAAAAATTACTAATTTTTTTACACAATATGATATTGCCAGCAATACGCGAAACGTTTTAATCAATGCGTTATTTGTGATGGGCAAATGGGAGCGCCCTTTCGAGAAAGAACAAAACGTTCGACGAAAATTCTACGGACAAAATGGCAACAGCGACGTTGTAATGATGAACAATCTGCAAACTTTTGAGTAAGAAATTCGATAAATAAAGTACTAGATAATATTATAATAATTTAGATATTCCGAAAACGACAAAGCGAAATATTTGAAAATGGAATTGCTCAGAGACGGAGGTGGTGCGCATGCCGTATTCATATTACCTCATGAAAGAGACGGTCTAGCTAAGCTAGAATACCAAGTTCAAGATTTACTGCAAACACCTTCATTTTATGCTGCCAAAGTCGATGTTACTCTACCTAAATTCAATATTAATGGAGATGTAAAACTAAAATTTGTATTACAAAGCGTAAGTACCTAATGCTATAATGTAAGTGTATCTATTTATAGGTATTTTTAGTTGGGACTGAATAAAATCTTCCAATCGGGCGAATATCTAACGGGTTTAAAGTACCCAAATCATCCCCTAACAATTATCAGCGATATGTACCAAAAGTCGCACATAAAAGTAGAAGAATGGGGCCTGACTGCTGCCTCAGTCGCTGCAGCTGAAGTTGTAGTAGATGATCCACCAGATAATAAAGTTTTCGTTGCCGATCATCCATTCTTGTTTGAAGTTGTTGTCGACGATGTTGTAGTTTATGCTGGACGTGTAGTTAACTTATAATTGTTGTGATTATTTTTGTTTAATAATATTGTTTGAACGATTGAAATATTTTATTTCTGTCTCTCCGATTCTTTGTTCTCCCATTTAAATCCACAAACTTTCATATTATTCATCACCTATATAGTGGACACATTGTACCATATAAGGTTCAATTAGATTTCGGTTAATATGAGCATTTTGAAAATATTTTTGAATGCTTCGTCTTGGTTGTTCATTATCAAATTTATTTATGCATATATTTATAAGTACATATTGTGACTTTTGTCAGATTCATTTGCTCAAGAGATGCTGGCGGTTTTGGTGAGTGCTACCACAAGTTCGTTTATGAACATGATTACAATAACAAAGTGTGAAAGATAATTTCATAAGTAATCACACGAGTTTTGTAGTCACGTTTAAACACACGTGTGATGTACAGTGTGTCCCATATTGGTTGTCCATAAGGGATAACTCGGTTGGCTACTTTTTTGTCAAACGAAAGATGGCGCCAACAGAATTGTCATCGCTCTTTTTGTTTTAAAGATACAAGGTGTTTTTGAAAAAGTTGCATTTTGAGACACCCCTTGTATCTCGGTTCTCTCATAAGTGATCGGAAAGTTGACAACAGTTTCTTATAGATATTTTTACGTAGCTTCCAGTGGGGTAGTCAGTTTTTCTCTAGAAGTGATATTTTTCAAATTATGAACCAAATATACGTTTTTTGAAATGAGACACCCTATGGGCCGTATTCATAAAACTGAAGGATATCCTTGTAAGTATAAGGTAGAAGTATAAGGTTTTGAGTTGAAGAAAAAGGTAGAAGTATAAGCATTTCCTTTTTTTCTTATTCATAATGATTACCATATACTTGCAAGGATATCCTCCAAGAATAAGTAAAAAGTTCAAAGGTTGAAGTGATAAGAAATGTGAGTTCATTTTTCAATGAAGGAGAACAAAAAGTGAAATCTCACAATTCCAAAAAGAGAAATTTATTTTTCAATAATTACTCATTAGACTACCATGGTTTCGGGGTTTAAAACTTACACCCCATCTTCAGGTCAAAGGGCTACGTCTACAAAGAAAAATAAAACTAATTTTCTAAAAAAAATCTTCCAAAGGGTACTTACAATTCAGGTTACAAAGTCATGTATAAAAAAAGTGTAAAAAAGTTGTTAAACAAGGTGTAAAAAATGCAACAACATACAAAAAACAGTTAGGGGACGAATGGCCATACAACAAGACGAAAACTCTATGATGTCAATTACGGCAGTCGCTGTACGAGATACTGTAGCTTGACTTACACCCAGTTCTTAACCAATGCTTTTCTGATACCCAGGGTCACTGAGATAACGTAAAAATATCTGCATTTTTAGGACGGATGATAGCGCACCTCCTCGAGTTTCAGCATTAATTCCCAAAAATCTGTTGACAAGCCATTGCACATTTTCCTCTTCGAACCGGTATAGTTCTTTGTAATCACGCACAGGTGTTGATAAACGCTGCTGGTAATGTTTAATTTCTCCCAGTTCCACAGTTCCACAACATCTGCCATCGCTACAACTGATCACTACACGACTGAGTCTGCTACTGACCACACTCGAAATTATTGAAGGATATCCTTCTTATTTAGAGTAAAAGGTAACGTTTATGAATAACCAAATACTTTTTGTGAAGGATATGCTCATACTCTATAAGTATAAGGTTTTACTCGGAATATTATGAATGCGAGCTGAAGGATTTCCTTTTTTTTATGAATACGGCCCTATATATTATAAACTCATTAAATAGCTCTGCTTTTGCTGATTTCAATGGTATAAAATTTGATAGGTTTATCTCTAACAGTTTTCGAGCAAAACATTTTTTTCTGTTTTTGTCATAAGAAACAATGTGCTAGAAAGAGACCTTTCTCATTTTGCTCACAGATCCAAAGTCCTTTACTGATACATTGTTTTTTATGACAAAAACAGATATGATCAGTGGCGCACCCAAAAAATATGTTTCGGGGGCCCTACATAAGGTTGTGGCTTGTAATTAAAAATCTAAAAAAAAATGTAGGTGTCAGGGTGTCACGCCTTGTTGTTGCTACATTTCATATACGTAAAAATACAGTTTTAGAGGATTGGCCTGAAGGGGGGGCCTAGCCCGATGGCTCCCCCAGGGTGCGCCACTGGACATGATAGAGGTAAACCTATCGAACTTTATATCATTGAAATCAGCAAAAACAGAGCTATCCAATAAGCTATTAATATACAGGGTGTCTCATTTGAAAAAACGTATGTTTGATTAATAATTAAAAAAAAAATCAGTTCGAGAGAAAAACGGACTACACCACTGGAAGCTACGTAAAAATATCTATAAGGAACCGTTGTCACCTTTCCGATCACCTATGAGAGAACCGAGATACAAGGGGTATCCCAAAATGCAACTTTTTCAAAAACACCTTGTATCTGAAAAACAAAAAGAGCGATGGCAGTTCTGTTGGCGCCATCTTTTGTTTGACAGAAAAGTAGCCAACGTTCGCGAAAACCGCATCCTTCTAACTCCAATAGCAACCAATTAAGTTATCCCTTATGGACAACTAAAATGGGACACACTGTACAACGTTTTATCTACAAAGCGAAAAATAACAAAATGTTTTTTTCAATTTTCATTTATCAGTAGTTACCTAACTTCATTTTTCCTTCGCAGGTTTAACTATGACATTTATCAAATAACAAGAACTAGTTGTGTAATAGATTCATAACCTAGTCCATAACACCACTAGTTGTGTTATGAGTCTCATGACATAACTCAAATACTAGAAAAATGGTTATGTAAAACCGTCATAACCAACCGCTTATAAATAAAGTTACTTTACCGCATAGTGTGCGGTAAAAGTAGACTTTAGTATTTATAATCAAAAATCCCTTCTTTTTCAGAAAATGGATTTTTGATCATTTTTAAATCTAGATATATAAAAATTAATGCCACTTTTCGTTGTAATTTTATAACTCAAGAACGGGCTCACCTAGCCAAACCAAATGTTTAGACTTTGTTCGGATTATTTATTAGATCGTTTATGTGAAGTTTGTACAAAATCGGTCGAACGGTTCTTCATTTATCACATTTTTTATAATAAATGAATTATTCAATAAATGGAGGATCATTTTGTTAGGGCCAAATTATGAACTGACTGGTAAATGTCTGGTTGTTACCTAGCAGGTACTTTCTATGTACTAGAGAATAGAAAGTACCTGCTAGGTAACAACCAGACACTTACCAGTTGGTCCATAATTTGGCCCTTAATGGAGATTTTGCTGTCAAATTGAAACTTTTTTCAGCGTTGACAGTACCAGCATGTTGTTATGTCAATAATGTGGTAATTTCATTACGTGTTTCATTACTTATTTTATTTATTTATGAAAAAAATTTACTAAGCCCGCATACGGCGCCATCTCTTATAACCGATACCAAGTTTATTTTGTATTTTGTATTTTGTATACCGCGCCATCTCTGATACCTGGAACGAAGCTCGGCATTGCAGATACAGTAGAACAATGCTGCTCAGGAACTGGAGCAATTTAAAACAGAACTATTCCACTATTCCGATCAAATAGAGTGGTGCAGAAAGAGTAGATCAGATAGAGTAGTGCAGATAGAGTAGAACAGATGGAGTAGTGCAGTGCATGCAGAGTGAAACAGGGCTGCGCTAGAGATTTTTTTTGTTTTCTTTACATTCTTTGAACATTCCTGTGCCTGAGTTTATTTATTTGGTCGTACACTTTACAAGAATAATGCCCACAAGCTGCCTAAAAAAGGATCATGTAAAATTTTAATTTTAGGTGACTTCTGATCCAGAGAGTAAACATTAATTTTCTTCAACCAAAGCCAAATTCACTATCGAAAAAAACTGAATTTAATTCAGCTAATAGATACGTTAACACAACATTTAATAGGTATATTTTAATAATTCAGAGGCGGTACGAAGTTCGCCGGGTCAGCTAGTCTAATCTAATATCTTATGCCCTTTATGGAGATGTAGATGCGCATAGGAAAAATTGTGTAGCTAACACATGCGGAAAGTTCCTTTACGGCTTGACCGAATTCGCCGTGCGATAAACTATCACTTTCCGCATTTGTTAGGTCATTAACTATTACAGATACAACTGCCCGAAGGTTAAAATTCGAAATCAAAGCCAGTACCAGAAATATGGGCGTCCCCGTTCAAATAATTTCGTTTCACTTTCTCTTCTTATGGATTAATTGTTTTGTATCATGCTTATTCATAAAGGAATTCCGCATTTTGTTTTTTTTTTTAAATCGAGTTATGGCTTTAATAATTAATATTTTAATTAACTTTTACTCGATGCATTTTTATTTAATTAATTGGATTTAAATGACAATTGTATTTTAAAGTTAGATTGTCTATTAGAAATTATTAGTGGATATGGTGGGTTAATGTACATTATTCAAGAATAAAAATGTATGAGACAATCGATTAATTTAGCATTTTAATACACGCACTTACCGAAGAATGATTTTCTTTGATTTTTCTCAACAATTTGGTCAAATTCTGCAAAAGGAAGGAAAATGTATCTTTGTTTAAATGGGCATTGATTTTCTCGAAATAATACAAATTGATTCAAAATTAAAGAATTTTCTCAGTTACCGTTAATTTAAGCGCAAAGATCTACTCTAGTGCAGACCGGAAGTGACTTTTGGCTTCAGAACAGTGAACCCTACCAATAGCATTTTCGTTTATGTTGTGCAGAGTTGTACTTTTTTCACCGGCCGGCAATAAACTAATTAACCATTTACATTTATGACATTGAACTTTTTTTAGGTTAAATTGTGTAGCTCCAAAGAAATTTTTCTACTTGCCCCGAGTGTACAGGGTGTTTTTTTATATAGTATTAACACCCTACCTACAGCCTTTACCTTTACAGGTAGATGAAAGGTGTAAATACAAAAGTTGTACAGTATTGGCTAAATTTTCAGAATCCATGGTCAGAAACAAAAATTGAATGTCAAAAATGTGAAATATTGCATGCTTTCAGCTTTTTCCAAATGGGATGCGCTATATTTTATTTTATCCCATTTTGACGTTTAAAAATGACATTATTGAACGCATAACAATAGTCTGCAGCGCTAAATGTCAGTGTATTTATATGTACCGTAAATGTTAAATTTTAAGTTCTTGTGTTTTTCGTTAATATTATAACGTCATATATTTTTGTATTATGTTATTTACTGTAAATGGCTTGTCCGTTAATAAAAGTTTATTACATTACATACAAAATTCAGCCAATTCTGACATAAACACAATTTCCGTATACTTTGGGCAGGGTCCTTTGGACTTAAAATAAACATCTGTAAAACAGAAGTATTGCAGCGAACTGCGAAGAATGCACATGGAACTTCCGCCTCAAATGAATATACATATTTACGGCACAGAGTTGGATGAAATAAGTCGCTCTAATTTAAGTATCTGGACGGTATCATAACACCAGATGGAAGGGTAGACGCTGATGTAAATACTGGAATTGCGCAGGCATCTTTGATCTTTGGAAAGTTGCACCAGAAACTTCTTAAAAATCATGACGTAAGTTTATAAATCAAGATAAAAGTCATGCAACAGTCTTACCGACTCTTTTTTATGGATCAGAATCATAAATTCTATACACATTTGGCACATTTTGAAGCTTGACCAATTTCACTTGAGATGTCTTAGATCAATACTGACTATAAAGTGGAATCACTATTAGTCCAGGAGGTGGCGCCAAAAACATGCAAGAGTTTTCGCAAGGCGGATATTTTCAAAATAGGTCGTACTTTAGTGCTAGAATGCTAGTGTACAGTCAGCACTCACAGTTCCGGGACAGCTGGCTCTGGGACGCGGGCAAAGTTGTAATTTTAAGAAGCATCTAAACTGTTTTCTCAAAGCTCAAAATTTATAGAAATTTTGCACATTATCTGTTTGAAGGTCACAGATAACGTATGTAAATCGTCAGACGTCTAGTTCGTTGCAAAAAGGGGGTCAGACGTCCTCAAAGTTTTTATTATATGGCATTTTCTTCGGTGTCCTGTCAAAATATATTTTTGCAGGTATTTGACAAATATATTTGAAGAAAATGCCATAAAATAAAAACTTTGAGGACGTCTGACCCCATTTTTGCAACGAACTAGACGTCTGACGATTTACATACGTTATCTGTGACCTTCAAACAGATAATGTGCAAAATTTCTATAAATTTTGAGCTTTGAGAAAACAGTTTAGATGCTTCTTAAAATTACAACTTTGCCCGCGTCCCAGTGCCAGCTGTCCCGGAACTGTGAGTGCTGACTGTACACTAGCATTCTAACACTAAAGTACGACCTATTTTGAAAATATCCGCCTTGCGAAAACTCTTGCATGTTTTTGACGCCAGCTCCCCAACTATATATACAGGGTGTCCCAAAAAGATACCGACAAACTTTACGGGGTAGTAGGGGACATCAAAACAAGCATTTTTGTTTATATAAACATATGTCCGCAAATGAGCCATTTGGGCTGTAGAGCAAAAAAAACTGTTTGGTATCTAGTTTTATTCTTCGCAATAATTAAATCACTGTTTACTTATTAATTTTGCTTTAATAGCAAATAAATTATGGTTTACAATAATTGTTCAACTCGCGAACTCTTTGGAATATTCCGGGAATAGCTTCTACATGGGTACAACTCGCCAGAATCCTTGCTATCAGATCTTCCTTATTACGAACAGGTTTTTCGTAGACTAATCTTTTCAGTCAATGACCCGACGGTGTAATCTTTGCATTGGAGTAAATGGTCAACATTTTGAACAATTATTGTAAACCATAATTTATTTGATAATAAAGCAAAATTAATAAGTAAACAGTGATTTAATTATTGCGAAGAATAAATGTATCAAACAGTTTTTTTGCTCTACAGCCCAAATGGCTCATTTGCGGACATAAGTTTATATAAACAAAAATGCTTGTTTTGATGTCCCCTACTACCCCTTAAAGTTTGTCGGTATCTTTTTGGGACACCCTGTATAGTGATATATAGGAAACACCGAAGTTCTGCGAAGAGCAAAAATTGATGGCATTGAGTCTATGTTGATGAAACGGCAACTCCAATAGTGTGGTCACATAGTGCGTATCATAGATTTATTGTGCGTATGAACAATGACCGCCTTACAAAGCAGATATTTTTCTCAGAGCTACTCCATGGCGAAAGACAGTGCGGAGGACAAATACTGCGCTATAAAGATACTCTGAAAAGAACTATGAACAAATGCCATATTAATCAAAACAATTGGGAACAAAATGCAGTAAACCAGCCAATGTGGAGACGATCAATCCATGAGAATATTAAAAATTTTGAAGATAGAAGGCGTCAAGAACTGGATGGGTAAACAAAGGGGGGAAATAATGGGATTTAAAAAATTTTTAACTCACTCTCGGCATTTTAAGTCACTCTGCCCAACTAAAAATCTGAAACCTGTGATTTAAAATATTTTTAACTCACTCCCGGGATTTTTCCTTGTACTTTATTTTTTAAATTTCCACAAAATAGGATAAAATTTTGTATACATCATGTGAGTTAAAATGTTTATTCATTCGAAGAAAATTAACCCACTCGCTAGGGCCCGTGGGTTAAACTTTCTTCTCATGAATAAACATTCATTTAACTCACTTGGTGTATAAATAACTATTATATTCTTGAAGAGCACAATTTCCCGATTCCAAAACTATATAGTTTGGGTTAGTTGGTTGAGCCGTCTTCAACATATTTGGTTCTAAAAATTTTAAAAATACTATCAGGGAACCCAAGAACCACATTTTACCTGCAGCTTTCACCTGTACAAGTAGAATGGTTCACAAAATCAGTAATAGGATCCCATTTGAAAAAAGCTCGAAGCATGCAGAATTTCACATTTCTGACATTCAAATTTTGTTTCTGACCATGGTTTTCAAAAATTCAACCAAAACTGTACAACTTTTGTATTTACACCTTTCTTCTACCTGTAAAAGTAAAGGCTGTAAGTGGGGTGTCAATATATAAAAAAACACCCTGTACAAATAAGTGGATTATTGCGAAACTTATGGGTGGACCTCTGCGGGACGAGCGCAGCGAGTTCCGCAGCCATCCACTCACCAATATACTGTTGAACTGTTCCAAAAAAAGACTCACTGGAAACGTGTAGTTTTTGAACTAATGAGAAAAATTCATGAATGAGTGAATCAGGTTAGTATTGTACTTGAACAACATATTGGTGAATAGAATGGCTGGGTCCACTCATAAGTTCCGCAACAATCCATTCGTTTGTACTTGAATAACTTGTCACAATATATTACTAGTTTGGTAAAGTAACATTACTAATTTCTGTTGAAAGGCAAATTGACAAAAAGTGAATAATCATAATTTTACAAATTTTGACTATATATGATAAGTTATTGTTCAAGTACAAATAAGTGGATTATTGCGGATTTTATGGATGGACCTCTGCGGGACGAGCGCAGCGAGTTCTGCAGCCATCTACTCACCAACTGTTGAACTGTTCAAGTAAGACATTCACCTGAAACGTGTACTTTTTAAACTATGAGAAAAACTCACATTTGAGTGAATCAAGTTAGTATCGTACTTGAATAACATATTGGTGAATAGATGGCTGGGTCCACCCATAAGTTCCGCAACAATCCACTCGTTTGTACTTGAATAATTTGTCACAATATATCACTAGTTTGGTAAAGTAACATTACTAATTCCTGTTGAAAGGCGAATTGACAAAAAGTGGATAATCTTACAAATTCTGACTTTATATAATAAGTTATTTTTCAAGTACAAATAAGTAGATTGTTGCGGAACTCATGGTTGGACCTCTGTGAGATGAGCGCAGCGAGCAGCAATATACTGTTCAAATTTTCAAATAAGACATTCACCTGAAACCTGTAGTTTTTAAACTAATAAGAATAACTCACATTTGAGTGTCAGGTTAGTATCGTAATTAAACAACATATTGATGAATAGATAGCTGCGGAACTCGCTGCGTTCGTCCCGCAGAGGTCCACCCATAAGTTCCGAAACAATTCACTCATTTGTACTTGAATAACTTATCACATTATGTTACTAGTTTGGTAAAGTAACATTACTAATTCCTGTTGAAAGGCAAATTGACAAAAAGTGGATAATCTTACAAATTCTGACTTTATTTAATGAGTAATTGTTCAAGTACAGAGTGTTTTTTTATATATTGACACCCCACCTACAGCCTTCATCTTTACGAGTAGATGAAAGGTGTAAATACAAAAGTTGTACAGTATTGGCTAAATTTTTTTAGAATCCATGGTCAGAAACAAAAATTGAATGTCAGAAATGTGAAATGTTGCATGCTTTCAGCTTTTTTCAAATGGGATGTCGTATATTTGGTTCTATATTCTTGAAAAGTACAATTTTCCGATTCGAAAACTACACTCACCGACATAAAATTCGGGACAACCAAAATTTAGATCAAATTTGATGTAGGATAACTTTTTCTTCCATAGTCCGATTTCAATCTTTTTTTTTTTCATAATGTAGATAATTGTTTCGGTTTTAATTAATTTTATTCAATTTTTAAAAATACAGTTTACATGATGGAATATACCAGGAAAATAAAAAAGTATATTTTTTCTCTTAACTTTGTAACACTGTGTAGAGTAATTTTGCGAAGTAAGCTACACTGGATATGCTTTTCTGCAGAGTTTGATCCATTTTCAACATTTTGCTGTTTTATTGGTCTTGATATCTTTATCGGTTTCGGAAATATGAATTTTTGAAATAAACATTACACTTTTTGATCAAGTCTAAATTTTTGAAATAAACCGATTTCTCGATCAAGTCTATTTTTAATTGAAGCATGAAAGTAGGGGTTTTAAAAATTAGTACCTTGTGTTACCTCCTCTTGCTCTTATAACAGCTACTAAACGTCGATTCATTCCTCTAATCAGGTTTTGGATATCCTGTTGTGGAATAGCAGCCCATTCTTCTTCCAAAGCATTTCGAAACTGTTGAAGGTGAACAACTGTCCTCGGCGTTTCCTAATTCGTCTACCTAACATGTCCTATACATGTTCTATGGGATTAATGTCACTACGGACTACGGGCGGACCAGCGCATAACGTTTATTCCAACCTCTTCTAAATATTGGGCCACTATTCTGGCAGTATGTGGACGGACATTGTCATGCATGAAAACGAATTCGTTGTCGATAAATTGTGCAAAAACAACATGTTCTCCCATAATTTCGTCAATGTACCTCGGGTCAGTTAAAATTCCTCGGTCAATAAAAACAAGTGCCGTTCGAACGAAATACCGCCCCATTATCGATCTACCACCAAAGCTAACCCTTTCGCTAAAAGTACCTTGGGCAAATCTCTCCCCTTGTCGCCTCTATACTCTTTCTCGACCATCAGGAGACCTCAGGCAAAATCGAAACTCGTCTGAAAATAGAACTTGCCTCCACTCTTGAAGGTGATATGGGGCGGTGTTTCGTTTGACGCTCGAACAGAACTTGTTTTTATTGACCGAGGAACTTTAACTGGCCCGAGGTACATTGACGAAATTCTGGGAGAACATGTTGTTGTTTTTGCACAATTTATCGGTAACGAATTCGTTTTCATGCATGACAATGCCCGTCCACATACTGCCAGAATAGTAGCCCAATATTTAGAAGAGGTTGGAATAAACGTTATGTGCTGGTCCGCTCGTACTAGTCGTAGTCCTGACATTAATCCCATAGAACATGTATGGGACATGTTAGGTAGAGGAATTAGGAAACGCCGAGGACAGTTGTTCACCTTCAACAGTTTCGAAATGCTTTGGAAGAAGAATGGGCTGCTATTCCACAACAGGATATCCAAAAGCTGATTAGAGGAATGAATCGACGTTTAGTAGCTGTTATAAGAGCAAGAGGAGGTAACACGAGGTACTAATTTTTAAAACCCCTACTTTCATGCTTCAATTAAAAATAGACTTGATCGAAAAGTGTAAGGTTTATTTCATAAAATTTAGACTTGATCAAAAAGTGTAATGTTTATTTCAAAAATTCATATCTCCGAAACCGATAAAGATATCAAGACCAATGAAACAGCAAAATGTTGAAAATGGATCAAACTCTGCAGGAAAGCATATCCAGTGTAGCTTACTTCGCAAAATTACTCTACAGAGTGTTACAAAGCTAAGACAAAAAATATACTTTTTTATTTTCCTGGTATATTCCAACATGTAAACTGTATTTTTGAAAATTGAATAAAATTAATTAAAACTAAAACAATTATCTACATTATGAAAAAAGAAAGATTGAAATCGGACTATGGAAGAAAAAGTTATCCTACATCAAATTTGTCCTAAATTTTGGTTGTCCCGAATTTTCTGTCGGTGAGTGTATATAGTTTGTCTATATTTGGTCAAGCCGGCTCCAACATATTTGGTTCCAAAAATTTTAAGAATACCTACATCAGAAAAACCAAGTAAGTAAAGTTTGTTTCGCCAGGGTTTGTACTTGCCACCAGCATTTGCCTCCCTTGTTTAACAAATAAAAATTGACTGAAACAAATCAATGATGTCAAAAACTTTCGTCGGTTTTTAAACCAGAAGTCATTCATTTTAATTTGTCAAAAAAATTTAATGTGTCATATAAATTAATCTACGACAACCCTTTTTTTCCAAGTTTCAAGGTCAAGTATGAACCCTGGTAAAACGAACCTTACCTACCTCAAATTTTACCTGCAGCTTTCACCTGTACAGGTATTTTTACAATTTTTGGTCCGAATATATGAGAGACTGTTCAATCAAATATAGACAAACTATATATTTTTGGAATCGGGGCATTGTGCTCTTTAAGAATATAGAATGAAATATAGGGCATCCCATTTGATAAAAGCTGGAAGCATGCAAAATTTCACATTTCTGACATTCAAATTTTGTTTCTGACCATGGATTCTAAAAATTCAGCCAAAACTGTACAACTTTTGTATTCACACCTTTCTTCTACCTGTAAAGATAAAGGCTGTAGGTGGGGTGTCAATATATAAAAAAACACCCTGTACACCAGTGAAGGTGAAAGGAACACACCTGATAACTTTGAACATTTAAAAAATGCAAAATAAGTATCAGCTTTCTTTGTCTCAAATTAAATCTATTCAATTCCCAATCGAATATGCGCATAATAAAATTGAAAAAAATCCAAAGCGGAGGTTAATTGCAAGGTGGTTGACTAATTTATTCCTGCTTCAAGTTCAGGAAAAAAAAATTATTCCGAAATTCACCACCCATTCTCGGCCATATTGTACCACCAAGTCAGTGCAGGAACATAAATCAAAAAGTAATTTTTTCTACTACCGTGCGTAAAGTACTCACTTTACACACTATTTAGAAGACGTAAAATTTCACTTCACGCACTAGTGTGTAAAGTAATTCACTTCACACACTAGTGCGTAAAGTAATGTCAATGACAGATGTCGACACTGTCAATTTAGTATTTTTCTGGTAAATTGCTTCACGCACTAGTGCGTAAAGTGAACATATTTGTCTAAATCTATTTTTACACATATTTAATTGGTAGTAGAAAAAAATTTGTATGCAATACGTGCGTAAGCTAAAACTCATGTGATTGTCGCACTCGCCTTCGGCTCGTGCGTCAAAATTCACATTCGTGAAAAAAGGTCCACTTTACACACTTGTTGCATAAATAACTATTGTGGGAAGTATCCATTCTCAAATTAATTTATAAATTCCTAAACTGTTTTTTACACAACTATACGCGTGGAACGGTTGCATTGTCACGTTTTATGTATAGCGATTTTTAAATAGAAAATGAAAGTTTATTAATAATTAAGCTATAAACAATGACACGCTTAAAGGATTTATTGATTCTTTCACTTTTGGACTAAACCAGATTGGTTTTCATTTCATATTCACTTAAAGGAAAATATTGAATTACCTACTGCTTTATATGCATAGCAGCAGATGATAATTTCTTCACTTCATACGCAAAAACACCTTCAGGGCAGAACATTCTTTAATGTTTATATCATCAAAGAGGACTGGTTTTATTAATTACATTGTAATTTTTATCCTTTTATACATTTGCACTTCCTTAAAAGTAGCCAATGGATAATGATTGTCGTTGATGGTAAATGGTACATTTTTCCAGTAAAACAGTTAACTTATTGTCACGTTCTACAAATCAAAAGAAAAACTTTTTCCAAGAAAATGTCACGCTAACTAGCCACGTGAAATATGAGCATTATATGGCTGGGTAAGCTTTTAACGCGTATTTAATTTTTCCAAAACAGTTAATTTTGTTTAGTGCAGATCGAGAAGAAAATACCATCTCGACCGTGTCAATTTCGCATTGTCTTTATTAACTTTCATTTTCATTTTTTTTTAATAATATGAAACGTGACTTTAGATGAAAATTATTCCTATTTTAAAATAATTTTATGTGAAGCCTCATTATATTACCAACCGAGTGTGTAATTTATATTCTATATCCATTACAACATTAAAACACAGGAAAGGAGCGCTTACTCATGCACAGGATGTGGCAAAATTTGTTCGTTGAGGTGTGAATGGAATTACAAGACTAATATTTAAGTGATTTATTTGAAAGCTTACCCATTTTTCCTGGATTAATATCGAATTGTGCTGGGCCATCTTGGATAAAACCTGGTCTTGGACATAAATCCTGGAAGAAATAAAAGTAAGGATGTATTAGAAACTAAATTTGCTCACGTGTTTACTTATAGCTAAAATAGACAAAATTGTATATTTGTGTGGCAGCTTTAAGATTGAATTATGGAACATTGAAAATTTTCCAAAAATGACACTGAGACAGTTTTTGCCTCACATCTCTGGTAATTTTTATCCGATTTCAGTGTAATTAAGATCTAATTAAAGCCAAATGAATTCTCTATAAACCTTATAATTAAGATTTGAATTTGGTTTCAACAGTTTTGCCCTGAGAAGTTTCAAAATTGAAATTATCGAACATTGAAAATTCTCCAAAAATTATACAGAGACAGGTTTTGTCTCGCAGCTCCGTTAATTTTCATCCGATTTCAGTGTAATTAGTAGAGTCCGGATTAAAAAGCATAAAAAAAGTTGAAATAAGCGCTTAAAAAGCATATAATTTTCCACAAAAAAAGCATGGATATGCATGAACAAGGCAAAAAAAGCAATAAAAGTGAAATAAAAATTTATTGTTTATCTATAAAATACATAATAAAAAATATAATAAGTAAACATTGAAATAAATAAAGTCTTTAATGAATAAAAAAAAAATAGTTTTTGTAGAAACATAAGCAATAACTAAATGCTGACCTAAATGTTCCATAGCAAAGTTCTGTCTTCTGTCACTTAAGAAGTTTTTGTAGTCGGAAAAACTTCTTTCTATGTCGACACTTGTTATGGGCGCATATTTAAATTTTGTCACCACATCTGGGTTCATTTGTAACTCTTAGGGTCGGTTTCTCAATAGCGAGTCACCTCCAGGTTGGTTTTAACTCCAAGGTAAATGTGCCCAAATGGAATATTCACTCTGGAAATTTGCTTAACCCGGGGGTGACTTGATATTGAGAAATCGGCCTTAATTCAGTACTTCCTACCTGCAACTAACCATCTACTTTTGAGCTGGAGTTTAACGCGTATTATCGATTTTTAAAAGAGAAAATATAGCGGGCAAAACTTACGAGACAAAAGGTTTGTTCATTTGCGATATTGATATACTTTTGCAGTACAAAAAATCTAAAAAAAAAGCTGTAAATAAGCACAAACCCATAAAATAAGCATAAAATTTGAAAAAAAGCAAAATAAAAGCATTAAAAACAGTGCATTTTTGAGATACTTTTTGTCTAATTCGTCAATATTTTGAGTTGTCTTATATTTGCTTGTAATATTACCGAAAAGCATAATGCCTTGAAATCCGGACTCTAGTAATTAGCCTCTAATTAAAGCCAATTAAATTCTCTACGAACCTATAAAATAAGATTTCGATTTATTTTGAACAATTTTGCATCTGACAAGCTACAAAATTGAATTTATCGAACATTTAAAATTTTCCAAAAATGACACTGAAACAGTTTTGGCCTAGAGACTCCGTTAATTTTCACCCTGTTTCAGTGTAATTAGGCTCTAATTAAAGTCAATTGAATCCTCTATAAACCTATTCATTAAGATTTTAATTTGGTTTCAACAGTTTTGCACCTGAGAAGCTTCAAAATTGAATTTATCGAACATTGAAAATTTTCCAGAAATGACACTGAGGAAGTTTTTGCCTTAAGGCTTCGTTAACTTCCATCTGATTTCAGTGTAATTAAGCTCTAATTGAGGCCAATTAAATTCTCTACGAATCTATTGATTAGGACTAGGTAAAGGTTTTAACTTGAACATGATTTTCCTGCTCTACGTTCATTGCAAAAGAACTGCTCTAGAGAAATAGAGTGGGTAGTACGAATGAAAGCGCTACTAAATTAACGTTTTAGCGCCAAAAACTTTCGAGTAGGAAAAATGTACTCATAGATAGAAGAGGCGTATTTTAGCGATCAGTGAACATCATACTACACATACTACGATTCATGACGTCATAGTTACCCAAATGACAAAAAAAAAAGGCGCCAAGCGGCGGATTTATTTAGAAAACAAAGCACCAAATGGGGTGCTAATATTACAGAGAGTTCAACAGTACAAGTAACTTTTATATATACTCATAGGTAAGTAAATCAAATATGAATATGAGTCAAAATATAAATCAAAATGTAAGTCAGAATAAATGAGTCAAAATCATTGTGTTAGCTACGTCTAATGCAGCTACAAGTGTATAGTATTAAACTTAAACTAATAGACGTGGTTTAAAGTTCCTATTGAGCTATTTACAGAAATGACCTACCTAACTAAGTAATGCTATCCTAATTTATGTTACAGAATAACGGAATGAGCACCATAAGTCTAATCTATGTGATGAAAACAGATGGTAGAATTGGAGAAAGGCAAATGATATATGTTCCTAGAGCAATTTTGCTCATTATCCCTCTTTTAAGTTTGCTTTCACAGCTTTTGCATTTGTGTTGGCGGTATGGTGCTAGGAGGAAAGTAATAGTAGGTCAAAGTGTCAGAAAATTGTAACTTCATCCCTGGAGGAACTCCAGGAAAATAGGATGGTGAACAAAGTTTGTTAATTCACTAGGTGCTATGGGCCATTGAGTTAGACTGCCTATTAAGGTAGTTCTTGGATTATTGAAATTCGGACAGTTGTAAATTCTATGTATAGGATCGACAATTTAATTTGGGCAAGTTATACAATTCCCATTCGCCTCCTTCCCAATGCGATGGAGATGTGTTCTGAAGGGACCATGCCCTGTAAGTACCTATTTGTGTAGACGTAAAAGTACAGGTTCTTGGCGTCTGGGAAACTACAGGGATGAAGGCGTGGGTGGTTCGGCCTTTCGTTGACATGTCCCATCTTTCCTGCCAAATAACCAGGATTTCTTGCTGAAGTCGTCTATGTAATTGCTGAATGGTGTCAAATTCGTCTCTATTTAGCCTCAAGTTTTGAAATACAATTTCTCGCCGCCCCTGCTTCCATTGCATTTTGGACCGTTTTGAAAGTAGTGCCAAATCAAGCAGGGGAACGCCCGCCAAGACCCCGGTAGCGTCCGTCGACACTGATCTATATCCCCTGGCCAATATCCTACAGAAGGTGCCTATAAGGTATTGAATCTTTTTCTATTGTTTGTCATTTCCAATCTATTACCCCAAATTTGTATTCCATGTGACACTATCGGTATAATTGCACAGTTGTAGATGGTGATCATCGATTCTTTGAAATCAGTGTTCCATGTCCTGAGAGCCATTGTGATTTTTATTGCTCTTTTGCATGTTGTTCTGATATGCTCGGTGAAGGTAAGACCTTTGTCAATTACGATGCCTAGGTATTTGTAGGAATTTACTATCTCTACGGGTTGCCGTCCTTTCCTTGTGGCCAGGTCCCTGTGATGTTGTCTAGGAGGGGATTTATTTACCATTATTTTGGTTTTGGTTGTTGAAATCGAGAGCTTGCACGAGGTTGTCCAGGCTACTATCCAATTAATGGCCTGTTTTACAAGTGTGGCCAGGTGTCCTCTGCCATTGCTCTGCACCACCACGGCAAGGTTGTCCGCTTATGCAAATATGTTAGAATCTGGAGGAAGGTCACCGTCCAGGAGTTCATCAAGAAGGCAGTTCCACAGAGTTGGACCGAGTACTGAGCCCTGTGGACAACCCATGGTAATTCTCTTGCTCACGCTACAGTTTTCCTCCGAGTATTTGACCTCCCGGTCTGATAGATACGATTTGATCAGTGCAATAGTATTATGCGGTAGGTACGCCTTTTCTTCTCAGGGCATAAACTAGTTCCGGCCATCTCATACAGTCGAAAGCGCCAGAGATATCGGAAAATATGGTTGCAACGTTTTTGCATTGGCTGTTTCTGATGAGGTTAGTATAGTCCTGAAGGGCGGTAATTGTCGAGGAGCCTGTAATGAAGCGGTATTGGCGGGGCGAGTGGAACCTGGGGTTGAGGTCTTGCAATCTTTTCTTTATGATCTTTTCATATGTCTTGCCAAACTCCGGTAGTAGGGTGATTGGCCGGTAATTCTTCGGATTCGCATGACTGCCGCTCGGATCCTTCAACAGGTCATGTAGGACTCTTTTTTTCCATTCAACTGGGAAGTGTGATTGTTCCAGACATGCGTTATAAATTGCAAGTAAAAATTCTCTGATATTTGGGTATATGGCCTTGATTAGTTTGCCTTTTATAAGGTCGTGTCCAGGGGCCTTGTTACCAAGGCCATGCACAATAGAGTCTAGTTCTTCTGCTTGTAAGGGTACGTGTTCAGGTCCATAAGGGAGAATCGGTTGCAAGGTTTCAAAATCTCTCAATTTTCTTGTTTGCCTAGGAGTCAAGTCCTCTGCAGCATCAGGCAGCAGTCGGTGCAGCAGAAAATTCATCGACTCCTCCAGTGTTCGTGTGTGTCCGTTACCCTGTGCAAAAGAGCACAGCGGTCCTTTTTTTCTGAATTTTTCTGTGGCCAACTTGTATACCGTACCCCATGGATCAGTCTGCAGATTGTCTTCTACAAATCGTCTCCAAGAGTCGTGCTTTGCCTGGCCTATAGCCTGTTTGAAGATTTCTCTGTGGGCCGTCATTTGGTTAAATAGATAGTCTCGGTCTTGTTGGATCACATTCGAGTATAAGAGCCTTTTCTTTCGATGGTAAATTTTTCTAAACCTTTTCACTCTGTTGGTCCACCAGTTCGGCCTGTTCGGGTACTGCCTGACGCGAGCGGTATTTGCTATGTTGATATGGAATAGCTCATGAAATCTAGCAACTATTGTGTCGATTGATCTTGGGCTGTCAAGCTGGGGCAGCCTCCCAACTTCTGTGACGATGTTACGTATCTCATTATTGACTGTGTCTATATTTAGTTTTGTAGGGTCCAGGATATATCGGTTTTTAGAAGGTTGTGTCCTAGGTTCGTTTAGGACGAATAGTATGCAATTGTGGTCCGCGATGTTTAGCTCTCTCTGGACCTTCCAGTCCACAACCGCACTTATTAGGCCGCTGGTGATAAGCGTCAGGTCGATGTTGCTGTGCCCATTTACCGTCTCAAAAGTTGGCGGATAGTTTGGCCCATTGCATATTGCTAGGTCGTTGAATATTATAAATTCTTCCAATATCAGCATCGTTATTGTTATCATACCATACCATCGACCTGCAGTTGAAATCGCCAGCCAGAATTGTTTCACCCAGGAGACTGTCTGAAAGTATAGGTTTGCCCTGATCATTGTCAATTCCTAGAATGAAGTCATTTATGCAACAATGCAAGCGTAGAACCTGTTGTTGTTGGTGGAACATAATTTTAAGGGCCCTGCTGTAGGGATTTTAAAGTTGTTATTATTTTGATAGCAGTAGGGCTCTTGGAATATTCCAACATCAATGTTATTTGTTTTCATGTAATTTAGTGTCTCAATAGTAGCAGTTCTAGAAAATTGCAAGTTAGCTTGAATTACAGATAAATTATTCATTAAAGTCAAAATCAACACTATTAAGGTAGTCCTGTAGCCTTGCTTCATATACTGGACACTTCTTGGAACCTGCGTCATGTTCTAGGTCTCTCTTTCCTGCACGCAAACAGTTTGCGCACTTCACACTACCCTGCACTTCCTTGTTGGCACGACTCGTGGTCCACGCTTGCGCAAAAACCACACAGCTTCTCCGAATTGCAAAACTTTGCAACATGCCCGAACCGTTGGCACTTGAAACACCGTGAGATATGGATGTAATCCTCTGCGTTGCATGCCTTCCAGCCAAAATATACTCTGCCTTGTTGTTTGAAGAATTGCCTAACTTTGGGGTGAACTTCCAATACCCAGTTTGGGTTGCGTCGGGCGTCCTTAGAGCCCACTTTGAATAGAACTTTGTGCCATTTATCAGGTGTGTCCACCTCCTCAGGGATGTTGCTGCCAATTTCCTCCAGGACTTCCCTGTCTGACAGGTGACAGGTCTTTCGGAACGCCATAGACAATAATTCTCGGCCAGAGTTTTTCAGGTAGGCGTGCCATAAGTTTGGATTCCTTGAGATAATTGGAGTTGATCAGACCAGCAATGGTAGGATCGGTTGATTCAATCAAGACCCCTTTATCCCTTACCAACCCTATCAGGCTTTACGCCCAGCTTTCGTGGGTCCAGTTTGAGCAGAGCTACTTTGGTTTCTTCGGAAGTTGTAGGTGGATTTATGGTGCCATCTTTGGGATAAATTATAGCCTTATCCTTTTTCTGGGCTGGAAGGCTTGAGGAAGGCAAGTTACGTCCAGGTTGCTTTAGGGCCTTGGCATAATTAGCCTGGATGTTGTTAGCTGGCTGCTTATCCAAGGCCTCATTTATAGTTTTCACTACCAGCTCCTTGAGGTTTTCAGCATCGTGTTTTCGCACCAATTGTGCATTAATATTGCGAAGGGCTCTTTGTATGGAGTTTATTGCATCAGTGCATTCCCTCTTACGAGTAATAGTGTCCTTGGACGAGGTGACGAAAGCCAGCAAAAGTTCCAGGCCGCTATCGATAAGTTGCATATCGTCATCCTCTGTGGCCTCAGTGGTCTCTGGAGAGAGTGATTGTGACCTTTCGCGACCCGTGGGTGTCATCCCTGGTTTAAAAGGTCGCATTTGTCAAAATTAAAAACTCTTGTCTTTGATCTGAAAACAGCGGATCGGGCAGATCCGGCGTGCAGATGGTGCCGAGAAGGTGTTGTGTGAATCCTCAGTTGGAATAGATCAAGCTGAATCAAGCAGACAAAGTGGAGTGGTAATATTCCAACAGGTATCTACCTGTTCAGGTGATTTTCAGGTAATTTTTTGCACTTACCTGTGCAGGTAATTTCAGGTAATTACAGTCATTTACCTGTTCAGGTATGTTACCTTTATACCTTTGTTTGTCACTCACTTTTGATTTGTCAAAACTTTTCTTACCAATTCTGCCTGATCCAGGCCACAGATCCAGGCAGAATCCTCCGATTGTTTCTTCTGCTCACTATTCACTTTAATTTTTTCATTTCAAGTCAAATTAATTGTTTCTCTATCAGAATGTGAGGAGGAGCATATTTTGTGATTCTTACTCTCTATCTCTGCTTGGAGCAATCAGTACAGAACAAACGCTACAAGACAGTCCTTTTGGAGGAGAACTTACAACTTTGGTAACTTTTATCTTGTCCGTTTTCAATAAAAGTTACTCCGAATATTTTAGTAATAGAAGCAAACACATGTGAAACGCAATCGCAAGAAAACTTTCAAAAAGAGTCTTGCATCGTGTAGGTACGAGACTTTCTGCAAACTCCAAAAATAAGAACCTAATCAATATCCAAAATAATTAGAGGTCATCTGCTTTCGTGTATGATGTCAAAAACCCCATATATTACATACGTCGCATAATCGGTTCTACCCACTCATTTAGAAAAAAGCGAACGCGTTTAAAAACTAAAAGTGAACGCAAAATGGACGCGTCCCACTGCGACTTTTAACTACCATAACGCGCCTACGACGTCTTGTGTAAAGGTTTTCACGTCGATCGACCAATTTAAAGATGACCACAAATGGTTATCTTTGGATTTCGCAAAAAATATATATTCAGAAGAACATTTCAGAAACAATGATAATGAGGATTGGAGTACTCCACGTTGATTGAGACATGTTGGATAGGATTTAGTGATTGGAAGTTTCAATTTGTCTCCCATGCAAGAAGAGCGACTCAGATCAATTCAAGATTAGTTTGAAGAAGACTTGGGATCGCAATCAGAAACAGAGTGAATTTGTTCTTTTTAGCGACACAACTGCGAGAGTTTTAGCACACTGAGGTGCAATAAAACAACCAAGAAAAACAAAAAAACACAAAACTAGATTAGTTAAGAAAGAGCACGACTTTAGAACTAAGCCAAGTGTTTGATGAGTTTCGCTCGAGTGGCTCCGAATAATAAATTGTACCCAGTAGACTGGTTTTTCTTGAAAAAAAAAACCAGATGCAGATGCTTTTAACTGCGGTCTGAGCATATCATATTTATTTGCATTCGATAAATGACTAGCAAATTCCTACCTTTGGTCGTTTCCAAGTGAATTGAAACGGCGGCGTTTGGTGGTAAAAAACTGAGGCTTGCGTCGCTGGAAAATCAGGATCTTCCCATAACTCGCCGCGTTTTAGACAGGCTCTGCGTATTCGCTCGTACTCGCTCATTACCTACAACAAAAAATACAATTATTAGAAGATTCCGAAATATGTAATAATAATTAGGGCAATTTTTTTTAAGTTCAACCCACTTTTATAGTTGTAGACAATTTATTAATAATTAAGTATGTAATTACACGTCGTTTTTCCGAGTAATAAAAATTCTTGCTCGCGGTTCGGGGTCAATGAAATCGCATCTCTTGTTGTTCGTGTGCGGCCGTATGGAGGTCGCAAGGCTTTATCGAGGAGTTTTTTACCATTCTAAACTAGAAGAGAAGATAACCAATTTGGTCTAGAAACCTCAAATTTTTTAAGTTTATCATTTAACTGTATAAGGAGTTTTAAATTGAGCTGCGTTTTATTATTGGATTGGCCCTATTGTTCCAAGAGAATCCAACATTTTGTGACGTTAATTCAATGAAAATGAAAAATACTTCAGTTTGTATGAAAGAGGTCCACAAATTAGTTTCCTTTGCAAAAACTCTTAATCAATGTTTTAAATTAAATCGAGGACATCAGACAATAACCTGAATTTATGTACTGGCGTACACACATCAGGTGTATTTTTCCTGGTTGTCTGCGTTGCATTCATAAAAATACTATAACAGTACCATATCGAAAACTTCTATGTAGAGTACTTTGGTTGTTGACCTGCTCTCGTTTTAGCTGTAAAGCATCACTTTTGGTTTAATTCGTAACTAAATCATTTTTCTTTGAAAGGTTACTAAACAGTTTGCAAATTGTTTTACTGTATGAGAAGCCACCGGAGTGGAACTTTGAAATTTATAGTCCACGTAACACCATCAATAATAAATTTTATAATACATTGCGCTTTCTTTCGTTTTTTTTATTTTTGTTATTTATTTACTTTCACTTTGTTTTAGAGTAAATTATTATTGATATGTATGCATATATCCAAAAAAAAAAAACAAAAGGAAATTTAGTTTAAAAGTTTCATAACAGATTACATAAAGACATTACGAAAAATTCACACGACGGAATTGCTGTTCTGGTACTGGAACAATAGCGGAAGATTATCTGGGAAAATCTAAGTTTTTTAAGAGCAGGATTACAGAGTAAGTACCTACCCATTTGCCTTTGAAATAAATAATTGAGATAATGCAATGCACGGTATTAATAATTATTAAAGGTGAGTGCATTAAAAACGATTCAAAAAATTTTAATTTTATGCATATGACCTCAGTCTCGGTAAGTACTATAAATCAAATTTCATTGTCGCCAGTTTCAAGTCTTTCTTTTATTATACCAGTTTGATGGAATTTGAAAAAAGTCATTTATAAGGTTCATTTCACAAGGTTGATGGATATTTTTCCCATTTAAGTTTTGCATGATTTATTGCAATGAGATTATGAGCTTCATAAAAGTCAAATTTTTGTCTATTCCAGGCGCTATAGGCTCTCTGAAATAATTCTGAGGTTTTTAAATTGTTTTGAGTCCTTTTAAAATGCTGCTGGAAAGTGTTTTGGAACGTTCTAAATGTTCTAATGTTTTTACTTGGCTTGAAGAGTTTTGGAGCATTTTAAAAGTTTTTCAGTAATTTCTAAATTGTTCTGTGACAGATTTTCAAGTATTGAGCCCTATATTGAAGCTCTAAAGTGTTCCAAATTGGTTCAAAAGAATCCTAAAATGTTTTCAGTTCTAAATTGAATCCTAATTGTTCTGAAATAGGTAAATCTGAAGTTTCTAAATTATTTCAAAATGCTCCTGAAAATTCTGATTTGGATTTGAACTGTTTTGGATGCCTATTAAAGGTTTAAAGTTTCACAGGAATTTCAATTAGCTCTTGATTTTTTTGTAACTTTTAACCTGGATCCTAAGATCCTGGGGCTTTTCAAAATGCTTCTGGAGATTCTACAGTATTTGAGTCTTTTGGAGCGTCCTAAAATGAATTTCAAACTTCTGAATTGTTCTAAAATGCTTTTGAAAATTGTAAAACAGGTTTTGAATGTTCTGGAGCATTCTAAAATGGCTCTGAAGTTTCCAAATTGTTCTGAAGCACTACAGAGAACTTTTAGAAATTCTGAATTGAATTTTAAGTGTTTTGAATTTTCAAAAAGCCTTATTGAAGTTCTTAAGTGTTCTGTAGCAATCTAAATGATTTCCAGTAGGTAATTTCTAAATCGAATGAGAAAAGAATTTTGTGGAAAACTTTATCTTTAAGACGTTCCTAAGATATCCACAAAGTTTGAATGTCGTGCTTACGTCTTCAAGGCGTCTTAAAGACATCTTCATATTTTTAAATTGTCCTGAAGCCTTTCAAAATACTGCTGGAAAGTGTTTTGGGACGTTCTACATGGCTTATAGAAGTTCTAAAGTGTTCTAACTTGGGTTGAAGAGTTCTGGAACATTCTAAAAGTTTTTCAGTAATTCCTGAATTGTTCTGACAGGTTTTTAAGTATTTTAGAGCCCTATATTGAAGCTCCAAAGTGTTCTAAATTGGTTCTAAAAGGCTAAATTGAATCCTAATTGTTCTAAAATAACTGTCTATTTCTCAATTCTTCCAAAATGCTCCCGAAAATTCTGATTTGGAGTTGAACTGTTTTGGATGCTTATTATAGGGTCTAAAGTTCTACAATACAATCTAAATTCGCTCTTAAAAGCCTTCTGAAAGGCGTTTTGTAACTTTTAACCTGAATCCTAAAATTCTGGATCTTTTCAAAATATTTTTGGAGATTCTAGAGTGTTTGAGTGTGTTGGAGCGTCCAAAAATGGGTTTCAAACTTCTGAATTGTTCTAAAATGGAAATTGTAAATCTGGTTTTGAATGTTTTAGGGCATTTTCAATACATAAACCATTATCCACTTTCAGACCCAACCAAATAGTGTGGCTCAGTTGTCTTCAAGATGTGAATTAACGACATCTTATGGTCGTCTTTTTCGATCTTCAGACGTTCAGACTCAATGCAGACCTAAAAAAAGACGTCTTTAAGACTTTGTGTGCTCTCTGGGTGAGCTCTGTGAAATTTAAAAATTTAGTCCCCAAAATTACCTACATAAAAGTCCATTTTATGTCCTAACTTTATTAACACCCTATATAGAATCTTTCAAATTGTATGTCTTGAACATTAGAAGCAGAGGTGTAGACGTAAATATATTATGTACCAATGGAATTAATAACCTTCTGTATAGAAGATTATTCTTATTATTTGGGTGGCGAAAATCAAAAGAAAATCCGCCACCTGCTCTGTTATATACCAAAGAGGTTGAACATGCATACCATGTTCGCACACGTAAATTCCAACCAAAGTGAATTTCGCTGAAGCCAAAAACAAACAAACAATGCCTAATTAAAATGCCTCTATGGGTATAGTGGGTTACTTAATTGAATATAACCGGAAGGAAAACGATATTATGTAAATTTCGGCATACTATGAGAAATATATGGGAGTTCAGGAAGCAGGAAGCAAAGTTTCTTTTCATATATAGGTAATATTATGATTTTATTTATTTGGAAATACATATACTGTAAGTTTAAGCTTAATAAAACCTTGATTATTATTTTACCTACGTATTCAAGCTTAAATCCTGAGAAATTTGAAATGCGGTTCTAAGGCTTTTAGACCATGTCTGTGTGAAGTACGAAACAGTACCACTTGATTGATTACAGTGTTTTTTAAATTTAAATCTGTGGTTTTGCTTGATTAGTGATGTTGCAAAATGTTTTTATAGTAATGAAAATTCCCTATAATTGTACAATGCAACAGTGTTTGCTTTTGACCTCTCAACATCTTTCAAAGTATCTAAAACATGACCATCTTTCCAAATTCACACTTGGCATTGTAATTTGTACGTGTTTGATAATTTTTTACCTATTTATTCATCTTCCCACCATCAAGTAGGCTCCAAACTATATTGCCCACCAGTATTGGAACATAATAATAATTTAAAAAAAAATGAAAGATCCGTATCTCTTCGGGACAGTAATCAACTGTGAACACCTCCAGAGAGCAAAGAAGAGTTATCGAAGGTCAACGATCTGCTAGCTCTATTAACTGAACCAGTAGATCTTTAGCAGGACGGATTCTATATAAAATAATTTCCTGCTTCTTCGAACAACAACAATAATTTTTAAATTCTTATGCGGGAATGAAGAATCTGTAGGTGAGACATTCCATAAGAAATATGTATGCGGCCAGTTGCAAATATAAAGGTAGGATTATATCTAATATCCGATACAAATTATATACATTCACTCAAGGGTTACGTAAGTTTATGTGGTTAGGTAACTGTTTTGAAAGAAATTGATTGCAGTATATAATTTTGGAAATTTTTAGTTCGTTTATGTATTTAACATCGTGGAAATTAATTAGAGCAGCTAACAATTTTTTGGCCAAATTGGGTGCAAACTCTAAATGGATTTATATAGGAGCTTATACGGATAATCCAACTGCAACTCCGAATAATCCGAGTATCCGTTCGTTAGATAATTTGAATTTGGTTTTAGTCCAAAATTTGATTGTTACCGGCTCTTGATTATCTCTAGAAAAATTGGCCTGCGAATCAAGAAGTATACAAAATGTGCTGAAAAGTTTTTAAAATTTTAATTATACAGGGTGGTGTCCCCCTAAAACATGATGAATATTTCAATGGGAGCAGATTCAATTTTTGTTTCTCTTGAAAATTCAAATTCACTCAACTGCTAGAAAAATAAATAAAAAGTAGATTTTCCTGCTACTGATGAGGTAATTCCAACTTAATTTTGTTGAAAAAAAAAATTATTCATCACGCATCGACACTCACCGTAATATTTAAATCGCGTCCTAATAAATCCAATATTAATTATTCACCGCACATAATACATATCAGAAAGTCACACAAAAAGTACCACCATCGTATGGTACCGATAAAATAAAAACATCCAAAAAAGAAACCATAACCTAAATAACTAAAAGACGCAAAATTTCACTTGGTTTTTACGCCGTTACGTTTTGAATTAAGCGGTACTCTTTCGGGTACTTCCTCTGCAAACATCTAACCGCGACTGCTTGCTGCTGCTGTTGAAACAAACGAGAAATCAGGAACCCAATCGACTGTTGGTGGGTACCACTACCTATATTTTTTTTTTCTTTTTTTCCCTGAAGGCCCAAGGCTTGATATTGAGTAAGTACTGCTATCGCTTGCAGTTTAACACACGGTTGTCAAGTGGTACCGATATTACGTTAAAAAGTTAAAACAATAATAATGCTTTTATTTAAATGGATTTTTCATATTAAAGCAACAAAATTATTTGATATTCAGTAACAGAGAGAGGCTAGTACTAGTAAAGGGCAACTTAAAGTTAGAATTAGAAAAAAAATATGAATACAAAGAAAAACAATAATTATCAAATATCAAGGCAATTTCTATATAAATTAAAATTAGCACCTTTTTACTTTGAGCATTTTGAGCTTAAATGATTGGCACGCCACCCCTACAAAATTGGAACTAAACTAATTCGGATTTCGTCGAATGATCAGAAAACTCCACTTGTATTGTATGTTACAGCGAGTCCAATATCCAGAAACTAGTGTTCATCACAAAAAAAAATCACAAGTCTTTCGGCGGATTAAAGTATTCCCAATGATGTAGATGAACCACAGTACGTCCCTCGCCGTACCCAAGAAGTATCAAACCAGCAATCAGTACCAAAAGAATGATCATAAAGACGTGCAAGTCCTGATTGCCGTCCGCATTACGCAAAAGGTTTTCGGTGAGATGATAAATCAGTCTTTTCAGTGAGTTGTTTATTCTGGAGCCGCAAGCTTGAGCGAGACGTCCGGAAAGTTCCGAAATCGAAGGCTCACTGGCACGCCTCGGTAACCTACTCGGTGGCCTGTGGACTGTAGAAGAATCGTCCGAGGTAGAATGCGATCTAGAATGAAACCATTACAATCTGTACATAAAACAAGTCTTGGAAAATTACCTAGAAACTGGCCGCGATCTACCACTATGGTGCCGTTTCCTTCTTGGAGCAGTTGGAATGTTCTCATCGACGTACTGCTTGGCGCGCAAAGCATAAAAGCTCGCAGGAGGCTGCGAGGGTAAGTACAAACCTTCTAAAGGTTGGGGAGGCCTAGGGGGAGGTTGATCGTCTACGTCAGGTTCAAGCATTTCGGTTCGGAGAGGATTTGGGACACTACTCGTTTCAGGATCTTCTAATCTGGAATTTTGTCTGTAACATTCATAGAAATTGCCAACACAAAATCTCACCTAGGTGAATCCTGTTTCGATTTTCTTCTTAATGATCTAGGAGGGGCATCAGGGGTTGATTCATCTAAAGTACATCCTCTAGGGGGCGGTATTGGGGGTTCAGGGCTAATTTCATGTTCTAAATCTACTGTAGGTTCTTCTATTGGGACAGTTTCATCAATCGGAGTTTTTTTTTTGACATCTTCTTGAATATTTATTTGCCTCACCAATTGCTCTAATAGTTGTGGAGGTAGTTCAATGTCGCTCAGTTTCAGTGTGCCACTTTTTCCTTGAATTTCATTGGTTGTTATTTTTGCGGCATCAATTTCGGACACCACTAACTTTGAGGCCAGTAATTGATTCACTGTGAGGCTATCTACGTCGATATTCGACACTTGAAGTTTATCAGCCTTTAATGTTTGTTCTTCGGGGTTTCGCAGTTGCTTGAAGCTCTCTGGTATCTCAGAAGTTTCATCTTCATCGGAAAACTCTTTGGTAATCGGTACCAAGTGTTCTCTAGACAATTGATGGTCTGGTACTACTTTTGATCCGTCTATAGGTTGCACCAATAAAGTACCATGAGTGACGGTTTCTTCGAATGAATACATTGTTGGAGTGATTATCTCACGTCTGATTTGGGGCTTAGCGGAGCGACGAGGATCATAAATTTCAAATCTTTCAATAGGAGACTCGGTTTGGACTCTCGGGGTGATAATGGTATCAGAAGGTTCTTGCCTGATTTCTTCACAAACAAAATCGGATGGTAACGGTTCAGTTTGCGTACTAACAGTTTCTTCTTCAGGTTGTTTGTGCTCAGAAGTAGATGGAATGATGTTTTCTTTTGAAGTGATATCCTGCAAAGATTTCCTAGTGGTTTTGGTTTTTCTAGGGGGTCTTGGTGGTGCTGGCAATGGTCTTTGACGCATCTTTTGAACTATCTCGCCGGAAACTAAATCCCTGTTGGTGTCATCTTCCATTTCAATATATTGACCAATATCAATCTAAATTTTGAAAATTTGTACAAAAATAATTGCGAAATTTTGTTTTTACCTGGTGGTTCTCCTTATCTTCTTCATTAGCATATAGTGACCCATTTCTGCTGCTCCTAATGTGGCTCAAAGTGCTGTAATTCCTCAAAGGTCGTACTGGTGGAGCTTGTGATTGATTCAATCCCATGTGACGCGGTACTGTGGCAAACTTTTCAGTTTCGCGTTTTCTGCGTCTAGGTGGCGTTCTGGGTGGCGGTAGAGGAGGATCCCTTTGCTTAGATTTGTCTACTATAGCATAACCCATGCAGTCTCTGATGTCTTGGGTGCAGGGTTCTTCTATGCAAGGCTGACGATCTAGAATTCCTTTAGAAAAAATTCAAATGCAAAAATAATCTGAACCCTGAAAATTCTTACCTTGATACTGTTCCTTATAGCTCTGGTTTTCAATTAGATAGCTTGGAATTTGCTGATTCTCGGCCATATATCCTTCGTCGGTGAAAATACTATCAGTATCCCTTTGGCTGGGAGGCAAAGACGCTCTAGACAAGCTGCTGGTGTTAGATCTAGAACGTCTGCTGGGTCTTTTTGGTAGCATTTGATGAGAGGGTATGATTTGGTCTTCGAGATCCAGTCGGTCTTCCATCAAAATCGAATCGTTCACTGAACTAGTGAGGCTTCTGAGGCTGCGGTGTTTTCTGGGAGGTGCGCTCGGTTTGGCTGAGGGCCAATTTTCGCGTTCTCTAAAACTTTGCTCTGCAACCTAAAATTAATTATGCGTTAATTACATTGGAATTAAAATATATTGCTAATATCATACCTGCAATTCTTTATATGGGTGTGTTATTGTAAGATCAGGTTGCTCTTTGCCCTGTATCCTCTCGTTTTCAAACTCCTCCCGTTCGTCATCGCCTAAAATTCCTAAACTCTCCCTAGGGAATTCCAATCTGAAATTGAGACAGATATTATTTTTTTAAACTCATGAAATTTGATTGTGTATTAACCTTTCTCCATGTGGTACGTCTATTTCAAGTGGGATTGTTTCTTGATAAGGCACGATTTTTTCCTCTTGCTTCTTTTTGTTTCGTTTGCTTTTCCTCCTTGGCCGAGAAGGAGCTATGATTTCTTCCACAGACTCTTCATCAACCTAAGCATATTTCAAGAAAAATTAAACATAAGTTTGCATTAATGAATGAAAATTCTTACAGGTATCTCTTCACGAGACACGTGAGGAGTCTTCTTCCTTTTCGGTTTCTTAATCGATTTCCTTTCAGCTTTGATCGGTTCTGGTCGTTCTTGCATTTGCATTGGCAAACTCCTATTGGACCCGATCGGATCGTATTCGTTCATTTGCGCTAGGGCATTGGCCGGATTTTGGAAGCCTTCCCGGATTTCGTGGACAACGAAAAATTCGTCCGAATCTACGTCCAGTTTGCCCAAGCGTCCTTTTCTGGGTACGCATCCGCTGCCTTCGCTTGAGTAGCCGCCTCTATTATTTTCATCCTCCAAGTTATCTAGATCTGTGACCATGTGCCTGTTTTGTTGGGTCAGTCTCAAATCGAATTCTTCTTCTTCTGTGTCTTCTATATAGTGGGGTATTTCTTCGTCTTTTCTGAGCCGAGCTTCTAAGGTTTCTGGTTCTTGATCACTGTAGTCTTTGTAGCTAAATAATTTATTGATTAATTTATATAGAAAATGAAGTATTTTAAAACTTACCCTGTTTTACCAAATCGTTGCTCAACTAATTGTCCTACAATTTTTTCATCTTGATTATCTCCGTTTCTTTCTTTGAAATTGCCATGCTGCCATCTGCTTAAGTAATCTGCTCTGTTGATTGCTTGATTTTCTCGTTCGTACTCTTCTTCCAGAACAACATCGCCTGAAAACCTTTGATTCGGTAATCGGGCCATGTCGACTGGAGGTTCACGGTCTTCGTATCCTCTTCGCGGAGCTTCGGTTGCTAAAAAAACTTCAATAGTAATTGAATTTTTGGATTGAGTCCAACAAACCTTCTTCTAAGTCAAGGTGCTCAGACGGGTCCATAGAATCCTCGGAATGTAGAGGAATTCTCGTGCTACTCTCGCTGCTAATGGTGGTACTTTGCTTACCGTTTTTGGGTCGCGGTACCGTTGCGAAGACGACTTCTTGGGTTTTTTTGGGTTTCCTGAAACGGGGGAATGTGCCGCCGAAAGTTAAATCGAACTTGTGTCGTTTGGTTTGCTGCTCCGAATCATCTGAAATAATTATAAAGTGGAATTCATCAATTTCTGCATCTCATAGTAGATCAAACTTGGTGGGTTTATTAATTTTAGAGCCAACAAAGTCTTTAGATTCTTACCTACGTTTGATTCGGTCGAAAATTGTCGCGTTTCGATGGTTTTCGTAGAAGTCGTTCTACGGGTACCAGGCAAGCTAATATTCGGTAAATGAAAAGTAGCAGTGTCGGGTAGTTTGGGCAAGTGCAAATTTGGCTTTTGGATTTTGAAGCGCTTAAAGTCGGGTTTTTTGAAGTGGGGTTTTTTGAATTCGGGTGCTTTGGGTAGGCTTGGTCGCTTCATGCTGTGAATTTTGTTGCGCAGCTCGTTGGTTTTGCTTTTGACTTTGTCCGTTCCTTGTTTAAAGGCCACCTGGAACATGGATATTTGTTTTATTGAAATTATGTTTCCTCCAACATCAGTGGCGGCGCTTGGATGCACTGGCAGTGTTGCCAGGTCATATTTTATTTTGTCAGTAGATTACCAGTATAAATATCAGTAGAAATCAGTAGACAAATAAGTTGCCTTGTTAAAGGGGTAAACCATTAGGGTATACTCAATTAATTACCTATTTTAACTACGTTTTTTCAAATCATTAAATCATTAGACTGTGTATCAGACTATGAAACCTTAGAGCATTAGAAAATCAAAATCAAGCACCAATACTACTTATAAGAAATAGTTTATTAAGATTAGGACACATAAGATATTCCTATTAAATTAAATATGCACTACCTACGGGATGCCCTATACTTGGTTCTATATTCTTGAAGAGTACAATTTCCCGATTCCAAAACTATATAGTTTGTCTATATTTGGTTGAGCCGGCTCCAACATATTTTGTTCTAAAAATTTTAAAAAGACTATCAGAGAAACCAAGTAAAATTTTACCTGCAGCTTTCACCTGTATTGATAGAATGGTTCATAAAATCAGTAGGTACCTAGTAGGATAGTATTTTTACAATTTTTGGAGCCGAATATATGAGAGGCTGTTCAATCAAATATAGACAAACTATATATTTTTGGAATAGGGGCATTGTGCTCTTCAAGAATATAGAATGAAATATAGGGCCTCCCATTTGAAAAAAGCTGGAAGCATCCAAAATTTCACATTTCTGACATTCAAATTTTGTTTCTGACCATGGTTTCTAAAAATTCAACCAAAACTGTACAACTTTTGTATTTACACCTTTTTTCTACCTGTAAAGGTAAAGGAGGTAGGTGGTAGGTGGGGTGTTAATATATAAAAAAACACCCTGTACAAATAAGTGGATTATCGGGGAACTTATAGGTGAACCTCTGCGGAACGAGCGCAGCGAGTTCCGCAGCCATCTACTCACCAATATACTGTTAAACTGTTCAAAAAAACACTCACCTGAAACGTGTAGTTTTTGAACTAATGAGAAAAATTCATAGTGAATCAGATTAGTATTGTACTTGAACAACATAATGGTGAATAGATGGCTGGGTTCACCCATAAGTTCCGCAACAATCCACTCCTTTGTACTTGAATAACTTGTCACAAATATTACTAGTTTGGTAAAGTAACATTACTAATTCCCATTGAAAGGCGAATTGACAAAAAGTGGATAATCTCACAAATTCTGACTCCATATAATAAGTTATTTTTCAAGTACAAATAAGTGGATTGTTGCGGAACTTATGGGTGGACCTCTGCGGGACGAGCGCAGCGAGTTCCGCACCCATCTACTCACCAATATACTGTTGAATTGTTCAAATAAGACATTCACCTGAAACATGTAGTTTTTAAACTAATAAGAATAACTCACATTTGAGTGAGTCAGGTTAGTATCGTAATCAAACAACATATTGATGAATAGATGGCTGCGGAACTCGCTGCGCTCGTCCCGCAGAGGTCTACTCATAAGTTCCGCAACAATTCACTCATTTGTACTTGAATAACTTGTTACATTATGTTACTAGTTTGGTAAAGTTACATTACTAATTCCTGTTGGAAGGCGTATTGACAAAAAGTGGATAATCTTACAAATTCTGACTTTATATAATAAGTTATTGTTGAAGTACAGAGTGTTTTTTTATATACTGACACCCCACCTACAGCTTTCACCTTTACAAGTAGATGAAAGGTGTAGATACAAAAGTTGTATAGTATTGGCTACATTTTTAGAATCCCAGAAACCAAAATTGAATGTCAGAAATGTGAAATGTTGCATGTTTTCAGCTTTTTTCTTTTATCAGTAAAATTTACATTGATATCAGTATATCAGTATATCAGTCGACCAGTGGCCAAATCAGTAGATCTATTGATAAATCAGTAGACCTGGCAACACTGTGCACTGGGCCCCTGCCTGGGGTTTCTTTAAAAGAGCCAATTAAAAGCTACGGAAGAAGAAATTTTGATAAACATCAACTTAAGAGCTGCTAATAATCATTCGAAATTCTGATTATTATTGGCTCTTGAGTCTTGACTGTCCTAGAACTACTCTCTAGGGAATCCAGAGTTGATAGAAGTTCAAATTTGGACTATTACAGGCTTTTGATTGGCTTCAGAAGGGTTTTCCAAAGTATCAAGAGCCGGAAATAGTTCAAATTTTGATTATCTGTGGCTCTTGATCCATTGGATAATTTTTCTTAAGCCAATTAGAAGCTGCGGAAGAAAATATTTTGATTAATATCAACTTGAGAGCTGCTAATGACCATTCAAAATTTTGATTATTATCGGCTCTTGAGTCTTGACTGCCCTTAGAACAATTCCTTAGCAAATCCAGAGTTGATAGAAGTTCAAATTTTGACTATTAGCGGCTCTTGATTGGCTCCAGGAGGGTTTTCCCAAAGAATCACGAACCGGTAATAGTTCAAATTTAGATTATCTATGGCTCTTGATCCATTGGATAATTTTTCTTGAGCAAATTGGAAGCTGCGGAAGAAGAAATTCTGATTAATATCACTTGAGAGCTGCTAATGATTATTCGAAATTTTGATTATAATCGACTCTTGAGTCTTGACTGCCCTTAGAACTATTATCTAGGGAATCCAGAGTTGCTAAAAGTTTGAATTTGGACTATTACCGGCCCTTGATTGGCTTCAGGAAAGTTTTCCAGGGAATCAAGAGCCGGTAATAGTTCAAATTTTGATTATCTATGGCTCCTTCATCCAAAAATAATTTTACTGCCCGGGCCCCTAAGCATCGCTTATATCCGCTTATGCATGTCGCCGCCACTGTTCAACATGAAGTTTTTACCTGGAACTTATTCGGTCCATCGTTAGATTTCTGTGGTTCATCGATTTCGACTGGTACTTCCTTGCTTTGGCTGGAACTTGATTTGGTCCCCGTTGAATCACCTCTATCCTGACTCTTTTCTCTATCACCTCTACCAAACTAATTTGGAAAATAATACAATACTAAACAATTTTGAAAATTCTCACCTGGAAAAATGATCTTTTCTTTTCTTCAACAGGTGGCTTATCCAAAATATCCATGGCACTAATGACCAGCTTTGGATCACTGTCTTGATCCACTACAGTGATGCTGGGCATTGTCAAATTGGTGATATCGTCATTGGGTGGATTGATTGGTTCGTATTCATGGTCACTGCAAAAAAAATTATTTCATTGAATATCCAAAGTTCCACACAGAAAAAAACCCACCGAAAATGTACACTTTTCGATACTGGAGCATTAATATTAGCATTATTACTGGCACGATTTCCGAATGAAGCATTATTACTGACACTGTTGCCAAAAGTAACATTATTACTAACATTCGCGGAAGGAAAACTGACAGGTCTGGCAGTATTAAGTGTACGCTTTGGCAACAACGAATCGCTTTTGTAATATTGACAGGCGCATCGCACGTCCAATGAAACGACACTTGAGCCGGTCGAACTCTCACGTGACGGATTAACGGGTTTCGGTTTACGTCGGGCACCTTCAGACAACGATCGATCGTTTGCGCTCCGACCAGAAAATGACGATCGACGTTGGACGTTTGATTGATTGATGCGTTGAGATTCCATAATTAGTTAGGGTTTTGTTCACGTTAGGGTAATAAATTCTCGCTCGTTTTTTACATTTTCGCGTAAAATTGTCGACATTCCGTCGAGCGTCAGAACCGTACTGGTGCTATTTTCGGTTTTTGCTATTGTTAGATCCGCTTTCGGGAGTTTCTGCCGGTCTATTTTTAATAATTCGTCCCTGCTGCTTGTATTTTGGCTGGCTGCCGTTCCCTAATGCTCCAGCTCATCAACATAATATAACATCATCGCGGAATAATTCAATTTATTTTTCAAGCCCAATAAAATAACATTTAGCTTATTTAACTACGACTTGTTTCCGGTAATTTAAATAAGTTCATAATAGTAAAATTGTTAATTGAATTTCTTTATTAATGATATTCAACCATGAACTTTAAAGGCTAGTAATGCATTAAAGGAAACTAAAAATTTGAAACAGCTGCACAACAATAGCAATTAGCATTTCGAACGAGTCAATAATAGAGTTATTGCAATAAGAGTATAATAGTTTTAATTGACCGCGTATTTGGCACCGGATCAACATTTTGACTTTTGAAAATACTAGTTACTTACCCAACTCCTGTGGACCATTTATTGTAATCCTCTTCCAAAGAAACGTCTTTCACAATTTTTTCATCCAAATAGCTTTTTTCTTCGTCCACAGACATCGATTTATCTAAGTCTATAGCTAGTTTTTCTGGTAAATCTAAGGATTTTTCTTCTTCTAAAGGTTTTTCTTCCACTTGAGGTTTATCCTTTACAATTGTTTCCTCTTTTGGTACTTCAATAATTTCATAGCCATTATCTTTGTCCTTATCCTTGGGTGTTTTCGATTTTCTTTTAAATGACACTCTTTTCTAAAAATGACAAAAATTATTACTTACTTGAAGCATTTTTTAAATGTTTTTACCGGGCCAGAACCACTTTCAGCTGTTTTCAGGGCAGATTTAAGGCGTTCTTCTTGCCTGAGAGCTTCACTTAGACCATCTTCAACGTCTACGATTATTTTTTTATCTGCTTCAGAAACTTCAGATTCATTTTCGATATCTTCAACAGGTTTAGCATCTTCAACAACTTTTTCAATAGCTTCAGTTTCTTTTTTATCATCTCCATCTTTACTAACATCCTAAAATCATTTATATTAAAACCAGTATTATCAAAAAGGTTGCTTACCTCATTGGTAGATCCCTTATCACTCTCCTCACTGACAGTATCCAAACCCTTTCTTTTACTCTCAGGTGAAACTCGATCGACGGCATCTTCAGCCAATTTTTTCAAACTACAAAAATTGAACATATTGTCCTCTGAAGCAGACGACGGAGTTTCTGGTACTTCTTCTGTGTCCTTATCCAAAATTTCATCGTCACTGGGGGGTGTTAGAAAAATAAATTGTACACCTCCTGGTTGAGGACTGCCGGAACTATCTATACTGTCATTACGTTTGTCAATGGGTTCTACTTCACTTGCGGGTTCGTCGGATTTAGTTGCACCTTCGCCGCTTTCCAAATAGGAAAATTCATCGGTTTCCCCTTCTGGCGGTTTGAGAGGAATGTGTATGTAAACTGGTTCGATTTTTTTGGGTTTCATATCCAAATGATGTCCTGATTTCACTGTAACTCTAATGACAAAAAAATTACCTCAATTACCTACCATACAAAAAAAAAATACGTACTTGGGTTTTTTATGTTCATCTTCAACCTTCACTTCTGGTTTTTCAACCTTCACTTCTGGTTTAACCTCCTTCTTGCCGATTTTTTTCTTGAAATTATCCAAAGACAGTGCGCTTTTGATTTTGTCTGAAGCACTTTTGAGTTTCTTCATTATGGCCAATTTGGACAAACTTTTTCTGCTGTAACTGCTGTCCATTGAGGAGCGTCTTTTTTGTTGAGGCTCGGCACTTTTGCTTCGTACGTTTCTAGATGGACTCGGTGCCAAATCCGATCTAGAAGTACTGGCTTCGAAGAGTTTATCAAAATCTTCTTTCGGGGATTCGCTTTCTGGCGTTTGTTGTTCTTCAAGATCTAGAGGAGGTTCCTCATTAACATCTTCATGTTTCACAGTAGGTTCTTCTTTGTCCTTCAATTCTCTAACATCTTGTAGAAACTTCTTAAATGCAGGATTGATTTTTATTGGAGGTTTCTTTGTGACTCTAGGTCCTCTTTCCAAGGTACTAAATGGAGATTTTTTCTCTGTATCTTGTTCAGTCTTATTGTTTTCTTCTGTATTAGTTTGTGCTTCTTTAGGCTCTTCAATTTTGATATTATTTTCTTCAACTATGGTTTCTTGTGCTCGATTATCAGACTTTGTCTCTGGTATTTTTTCGTTCTTAACTTCAAATTCTAAATGTGAAAATTCATCAGATTTTCCAGCAGGTGGTTTCAATGGTATGTAAATGTATTCAGGCTTGGCTACTTTTTTGAGCCTAGTGGTTTCTAAAGATTTTTTAGGTTTGTCTTCTTTAGGTGGACTAGTGCGGCTTTTTGTAAACTTAAAAAAAAAAATTAATTGAGTTCCAAATTGCTAAAATACATTATATTATGCTTACCTTCTTAGTAGGAAAACTCAGCTTGGGAACTTTAATTTTACTTTTAGCGCTTTGTAATTTTTTCAAAACGCCTAATTTAGTCAAACTAAAACTACTTTCAGCTGAAAGTTTCCTTTCTCTTGGGCCAGTCTCTTCTTCAGATTTAGCTCTGCGGTCTCTATCAGTCGATTTTGAAGGCATGGGCCCTCGGTCGTCTTTATCCAAATATTGACTGATATTATCCGTTGAGCTTTCTGCACTTTCCATTTGGAATTCTTTGATCTGAAATAAACAATTTTAAAATAGCACTCCATTGAAAATAGTTTTTGATTACTTGTACATCATCTTCCAAATCCTTATCATCTAAATATTCTTCAATAACCACCGAACTTGGTCTGCTATTTTTTGCTGAAACATTCTCATTGGGCTCATCGATTAGCTCTTGCAAAAGAGTGGGTGTAGTTTTTCCACTATAATCAGCCCAAGAGGATACTTCTGAAATTTCGATCCTGTTTGATCTTCTACCCATTGGGGAAGAAGATTTTGCTCGTCTATAAAAAGAGTTTTTTAAAACAATTTTTTTTTGTTAATTTTATTGTCAACCTCAAAGCATCCATGGTAAATTGTTCAGGATCGATTTTTTCTGTGTAAGGACCTTTGTAAAGGTATGTCCAGGGGTAGCCTCCCCTTCTCCGTGCTCTTCTAATATCTTCCCAGCGATAAGTTTTGATGGGTACTTTTGGTGGTTTACGTGCTAAAATTTAAATGTAATAAAGAATACAATTTTCAAAGCTTGCCAGAAAATTTTATTTTCAAGGATCGGCGTGACATATTGCGTACTATATATTCATTTTGATTAATTAGTGTTCACGAATTGAAAATGTTTCATTTTGGTAAATACATTAGAGAGTGAATACGGCTTGTGTGTGGGTGGCAATTGGAAATTTAAATGTAGTATACGGACACAAAATAAAATATTAAATATTGGATGATGAAATAATTCAATAGGTACCTAGTGAATAATAATGAATTTTGCATTGTTCACAATTAGTATATTTGTTAAAATTTTAAATTTTAAGAGCATATTTCAAACTGTAACAAAGGTCTGTCTCAATTTAAAGAAAATTCATAAGATTATGAAATTATGAGAGCCTGGAATAGAAAAACTATTTGTCTAAGATTATCCTGTATAGTTAAATTTCCTCTATATTGTCCATTCCATTCGGAATTCTTAGCTAAAAAGTTCAATAATAGTTTTTTTAAATAAAGACCAAAACACCAAAATGTTCGAGGGTGTATTTTACCTGAACTAGGGTTTCAAAGTTGATATTCTTGTATTTCTCCTGTTGTCATTTTTCGCGGAATCAGTTCGAAATTTCAGTATGATGAGCAAATTTTCTTTCTCTTTTCACCCCAAGAATTTAAAAATTTTCCCATGAGCATTTTTTTAGAAAAACTCCAAAATGTCAAGAGTACATTTTGCCTAAATTAGGTGTTTAAAGTTGAATTTCATGTATTTTTCCTGGTGTCATTTTTCGCGGAATCAATTCGAAATATCAGTATGACGAGCTCCTTTTCTTCCTTTTTTTACCCCAAAAATTTAAAAATTTTCCCATCAGTATTTTTTTTTTTTTTAAACACCAAAACGTCCGAGATTTTGCCTAAATTAGGTATTTAAAGTTGATTTTCTTGTATTACTACTGGTGTCATTTTTCACGGAATCAATTGGAAATTCCAGTATGATGAGCTCCTTTTCTTTCTTTTTTTACCCCAAAAATTTAAAAAAATTCCTATCGGTATTTTTTTAGAAAAACTCCAAAATGTCCGAGAGTACATTTTTTTCTAAATTAGGTGTTTAAAGTTGATTTTATTGTATTCCTACTGGTGTCATTTTTCAGGGAATCAATTCGAAATTTCAGTATAATGAGCTCTTTTTCTTCCTCTTTTTACCCCAAAAATTTAAAAATTTTCCCATCAGTAGTTTTTTTAGAAAAAACACCAAAACGTCCGAAAGTACATTTTGCCTGAATTAGGTGTTTAAAGTTGATTTTCTTGTATTTCTCCTGTTATTCCTCTAGTTATCCCAAAAATTTGAAAATTTTCCCATCAGTAGTTTTTTTAGAAAAAACACCAAAACGTCCGAGATCAGTATATTTTGCCTAAATTAGGTGTTTGACGTTGATATTCTTGTATTTCTCCTGGTGTCATTTTTCACGGAATTAATTCGATATTTCAGTATGATGAGCTCCTCTTCTCCCTCTTTTTAGTCCAAAAATCAAAAAAATTTCCCATCTGTAGTTTTTTAGGAAAACAACAAAATTGCAATTTTCTGAGGATGTTTGTTCTAGTAAATAGCTGATGAATTTAAATCGGACTTCTAGAATTTGAGAAACAAAATGCTTTAAATAGATGGTGATTAGTGAAAGATGAAACATAAGTTTCAATATCAATAATATGTATCTAACATCAAAGGCTGAAATACATACTTTTGGAAGACCAAAGACAAGATGAAGTCAGTAGGTATGGGGGCACTTGAGCCTGGGAACCAAATTTAACCGTGGAAAAATCTCCATATTGGGCGGCGCCATTGATATGAAATTTCGGGAGTTTGGCCTTGAACAGATTTGTTTAGAAGATACCCCTTTAGAACAAACCAGTTCAAAAACAGACCTGTATAGAACAGACCTGGATAAAAATAGTGGTCCAGAAATGCTATGCGCCTGCACTAAATATTGGCATTTCCGTTCCGAAAAGATTCTAGAAAGGATAAATAAGAGGTAGATAAATAAAAACTAATTTTTAACTGGAATAAAGCCTTCCATTATTCTTTCTATAATCTTTTCGGAACGGAACTGCCAGTAGGTACCTATTTAGTGCAGGCGCATATCATTTCTGAATCACTGTTTTTAAACAGGTCTGTTCAAGGTCAAACTCCCGATCTGTTCGGAGCGGAACTGCCAGTATTTAGTTCAGGCTCATATTTAAAGAGGTTTTCTATACCTTTGTTTTTGAACAGGTCTGTTCTGAAGGGGTCTGTTCTAAACAGGTCTGTTCAAGGCCAAACTCCCGAAATTTCATATCAATGGAGACTTTTCCACGGTTAAATTTGGTTCCCAGACTCAAGTGCAGTCATACCTACTGAATTCTTTATGGATTTTTCACGGATTTTGGGAGATACAAGACAGACACTTCCTGAGAAGTTGAAAAATCAAAGATAGAAAGAATCTGAGGATTTAAAAGACGAAAGACAAGAAGTCTTCAGAAATTGAAGAATCAAATGTTTTGAGAAGTTCGAAAGTTGGAGACCTGAAGATTCTCTGATCCATAAAAAAATTGAAAAATCGCGCAAAAGCTGCCGAAGACCTTAGATGCTCAAATTTTTGAAATACTCTAGGAAGTTTGAAGAGTGAAGACGGTAATGCTTACTTTAAAAAGTTGTATAAGATGTAAAACCGAAAGGCTCCGAGAATTTGTGTGGAAAGACCAAATACTCAAAGACCTAAGAACCTTTTACCTAAATCTGTTGAAAAATCGAAGACTAATGCCTGTATCACATCTGTATATTTTTCCATGTATTTATTCATGTAGTTCAGGGTGACAACCGAAAAATTTCAAACGCAACATAAATCAGCATTATGGAAAACAAAATAATGTTGGCACCCTGAACTACATGAATATATACACGGAAAAATACACAAATGTAATACGGGCATTACATATTTTGAGAAACTGATACATCAAAAACAAAGCGAAATTTGGAAGACTAAGAAAATGGAGAACGTAGAACAATGAAAAAAAAAAATGAGAAATTAAATAATTTGAAATAATTAAGATACATACATGAAAGCGTTTTATAAACATTCAAAATCAAACACAACACAAGTTCAATTGTAACCGAGATTGTAAGGTTTTCTACTAAGCCTAAGCCTTTTAGTTGGACGGTTACACAAACCATCTGGACTGTGAATTTGAACCTTAAGATTATGTTGACCACCCTATCTACAACCTGTATCGAGGCCTAACCAGGGGGCGGATTACGAACTCTCGATTCGAACAGAAACCGCCAAGGATTTCGAACGCACTCTATGCAAATGCATCAGAATGCGTTCGAAATCCATGGCGGTTTCGGTTCGAATCGAGAGTTCGTAATCCGGCCCTAGCTTAATTAGTACCTGCTGCTACTATCTGGAACATATTGGTATCGTACTAGCTGTAGTTATCCTATCTTTATATTATTATTTATTTATATTTTGCCCCTATTTTATGCGCTAAAGTGATCACCGCGGTATGTTTAGGGTGTAATTCTGTACTTGTGACAGCGAAAACCAACATTGATTAATTGGCTTCCAACAACCAGACCGCGGAGTCGAAAAATAAAAGACATATAAAGATTCTGAGACAAATCATAAAGAAACTTCACAGAAGTTAAAAGATCGAAGACTCAAATATTTTGAGAAGCTGATGAACAAATTAGAGTCTGAGAATTTGAACAAAAAGCCATCAAGAACCTGTTACAAAAGTTAAAAATTCAAAGACCGAAATATTCTGAAGAGATCTTAAAATGTTTTGAGCACATGAATGTTGAATGATCAAAGTCAGAAATATTAAGAAGATCTCAACAAAATTGTCACTTTCCATTATTTTAAATATAATTTTTGTCATTTTGCCAACGAAATCTTGTCAACATAAAAGTCATATTCAACGGACTAAAAAAGAAATTCTCACCTTTCTTTCGATGATTTCGTCTGTCGTTACGACGCAAATTATTCTCCATTTTCATTAAATCTAATGGTCAAATCACTCGTGCACAATTCTACCGATAAAACTACAGTCATTTCCATGTTCAAAGTATCAAAAGTTAAGCGATGATTCTCAAATAGCTAAGTAGCTACCAGCTAAGCTGCAAAACAAAATATTGACCTACTTCATTTCTATTTTTATGATGATTTGTGTGTGTTTTTCAATGGTGATGATGATGAGCTGAGAGCAAATGTGCAAATTTTGAAAATAATATTTGATTGTCAATTCCAGGGTCAGACTTTATGTAATAGTTTTTTGGGAGTGTTCCATATGCTCACCCGCGCCTCAAACTACATAATATTATTTTTTGTGCAAAATTATTTATTTTAGAGCTGAATGATGAGTGCTTTGAGATGTTTGAAGAAAGTATACTAACTACTTAAACTGCGTTAATGCGTAATGAAAGCAATTACAACAAAAACATTCCAAGGTACAAAATAACTATACCCGGAACAGCTTTGATATTTAATACTCGCACCCGCGCTCGGTCGTAAAACAACCACTTTTCGCACTCGTCGCAGCAAACGTTGTTCGTTTTGCCCGTTTTCCTGGCTGACCCGAAACTAAACGCTATTTTTGGTTGATGGCTATTTTTGCGTACCGTAGTGACGCGGGGCGTCGGCGTCTCGATTGCTTTATAATCGTTGCGACGCTATACTAGACTCACTATTTAGTCTTAGAACTAATGAAAATGAAATTTCAATTATTTCATTTACTAGGTACATCAATGACATTGAAGATTCTGGTGCTCTCAGGCTCTTGATTTGAAGCTGATGTTAAAAATTCTGGAGACTTGAGTTCCGGATTTAAAAATAAATATTTGGGTAGGTACCGCAATAACAAGTGTTCGCTAGCCGATGGTAAGTGAACAGAATCGAACCATCTTTTAGCATAAAAATATCCAACTCGGAAAAATTTGAAAAAGGACTTCAAAGATTATATCCATTTAAGTCCCAAAGCTTGAATACTCTATAGCAATGCCGGAAAATTCAAAAATTTTGGAGATGCTGAGATTCGTGACTTAATACTAGAGACTCTAAAGACAAAACACTTTAAGACTTTAGAGATTCTGAGGATTTGAAGCAGTGTTGCCAGGTCATATTTTGTTTTGTCAGTAGATTACCAGTCTAAATATCAGTAGAAATCAGTAGACAGATAAGTTGCCTTGTTATGGGCCAAATTATGGACCGACTGATAAGTGTCAGGTTGTTACCTAGCAGGTACTTACTATTCTCTAGAGCATGGAAAGTACCTGCTAGGTAATAACCTGACACTTATCAGTCGGTCCATAATTTGGCCCTAAAGGGGTAAACCATTAGGGTATACTCAATTAATTAGTTTAACTACGTTTCTTCAAACCATTAAATCATTAGACTACTTATGTATTAGACCATGAAAATTTGCATTAGAAAATCAAACACCAATACCTACTACTATGAGAGATAGTTTAATAAGATTAAGACACATGAGATATTCCTATTACATATGCACTACCTATGGGATGCCCTATATTTGGTTCTATATTCTTGAAGAGTACAATTTCCCGATTCCAAAATTATAGAGTTTGTCTATATTTGGTTGAGCCGGCTCCAACATATTTGGTTCTAAAAATTTTTAAAATACTATCAGAAAAAGTAGAAAAACCAAGTACCTACCTCAAATTTAACCTGCAGCTTTCACCTGTACAGGTAGAATGGTTCACAAAATCAGTATAGTAGGATAGTATTTCTACAATTTTTGGAGCCAAACATATGAGAGACTATTAAATCAAATATAGAAAACTATATATCTTTGGAATCGGAGCATTGTGCTCTTCACAAGTATATAGAATGAATGAAATATAGGGCATCTCATTTGAAAAAAGCTGAAAGTATGCAAAATTTCACATTTCTGACATTCAAATTTTGTTTCTGACTATGGTTTCTAAAAATTCAACCAAAACTGTACAACTTTTTTATTTACACCTTTTTTCTACCTGGAGGTAAAGGAGGACGGTCGAGTGTCGATATATAAAAAAACACCCTGTACAAATAAGTGAATTGTTGTGGAACTTATGGGTGGACCTCTGCGGGACGAGCGTAGCGAGTTCCGCAGCCATCTATTCACCAATATACTGTTGAACTGTTCAAGTAAGACATTCACTTGAAACATGTAGTTTTTAAACTAATGAGAATAACTCACATTTGACTGAGTCAGGTCAGTATCGTAATTAAACAACATATTGATGAATAGAGGTCCACCCATAAGTTCCGCAACGGTTCACTCATTTGTACTTGAATAACTTGTCACAATATATTACTAGTTGGTAAAGTAACATTACTAATTCCTGTTGAAAGGCGAATTGACAAAAAGTGAATAATCGTAATCTTACAAATTTTGAGTTTATATAATAAGTTATTGTTCAAGTACAAATAAGTGGATTATTGCGGAACTTATAGGTGGACCTCGCTGCGCTTGTCCCGCAGCCATCTACTCATCAATATACTGTTGAACTGTTCAAGGAAGACATTCACCTGAAACATGTAGTTTTTAAACTAATGAGAATAACTCACATTTGAGTGAGTCAGGTTAATATCGTAATTAAACAACATTTGATGAATAGATGGCTGCGGAACTCGCTGCGCTCGTCCCGCAGAGGTCCATCCATAAGTTCCGCAACAATTCACTAATTTGTATTTGAATAATTTGTTACAATTATATTACTAGTTTGGTAAAGTAACATTACTAATTCCTGTTGACAGGCGAATTGACAAAAAGTGGATAATCTTACAAATTCTGACTTTATATAATAAGTTATTAGACTATCCAAGATGCTCTCAAACTTAAATTAAAATGTTCGACAAGAGGCACACAAACCCTTTGTTTGCTTGTCAAAGTCACATGTTTTGGATAGGCTAATTGTTCAAGTACAGAGTGTTTTTTTATATATTGACACCCCACCTACATCCTTCACCTTTACAGGTAGATGAAAGGTGTAAATACAAAAGTTGTACAGTATTGGCTAAATTTTTAGAATCCATGATCAGAAACAAAAATTGAATGTCAGAAATGTGAAATGTTGCATGGCATGCTTTCAGCTTTTTTCTAATGGGAACCTATGCAGTAGTCTAGTCTTATAAAAACAGGTAAAACAGGCTGCAGTAAGTTATACACTATAACGCTACATGACAACGACTTTTTTCAGTTGTTAGGATAAGTTTTCGTTTAGCCACGCCTGCTCTAGTAGTATCAATAGTCACAACCATATCTGTCAGATGTTAGATGTTAGTAACGTCAACTAATTGTGAGGTTATCGATATAGCAATGTTGTTGTAATCTTCATGGTAGAATGTTTTGTTATTAATAAAATCTTTAGTTTATTTCTAATACCAAAACTTTATTCTGGCTTTATTCCACAAAATAACCCCAACAGGTTATGGGCCCAGATATGCCAAAAGTCAGTGTGTAAATTAAAAGTTTTGTTTTGTGCTAACACTCAAAAGAAAATGGCAAGCAGTTCTTCATCATTTGTATCGATTGATAAATTGACTGGTCGGGACAATTATAGCGAGTGAAAGTTCGCTATGAAGGCACTTTTAGAATTAGATGAATGTGGAAAGTTGTCGAAGGTGCCGAAGTGGTTGAGAAGAAAAACAAGAAAGCACTTTCTAAAATAATCTTGTCTGTGGATAAGTTAAATTATTCCCATTTGAAGACTGCTGCAAAAGCTAAAGATGCTTGGCAAAACTTAGAAAAAGCTTTTGAAGATTCAGGACTAACAAGAAAGGTTGGTCTTTTAAGGGCTTTAGTAACTACCAAGTAAGAAGACTGTAGTTCAGTAGAAGAATATTGTGACACCATCATTTCAACATCACATAAGTTAAATGCAATGAATTTCAAAGTGGACGATGAGTGGGTCGGCACTCTCTTGCTGGCAGGGTTGCCGGAAGAATACAGGCCAATGATAATGGGTCTTGAGAGTAGTGGAACACAGATTACAGGTGATTCAATTAAAGTGAAGTTGCTGCAAGATGTTAAATCAAGTTCTGATCCAAAATCTTAATTGTCATGGACAGAGAGATTTGGGGGGATCGATTTAATATAAATAGCGCGGTTTGAGTTAGCAGTAGCTAGTTGCCAGTTAGCAGATGAGTTGTCAGTTGAGAGATGAGTTCGCAGTCCAGTCCAGCTTGAGTTAAAGCCTGTCCGGTTGAAATTCGCGAAAGTTTCTTGTATTGCCTCGGTAACAGTCATTGAAAAAGTAGCGGAAAAATTTTGAAAGAAAGAACAATTAAATTCGTCAACAATTATGTGCGGGCTCTAAGTAATCAAAAGAAATAAATTAGATTAGTTTTGTGTTTTATGGACAAAATGTAAGTACTCTATAGTAACAAGATTTATTTTGAATATAAATGATGAACATGACTTTGTGTGATTAAACTTTGAATTTCAATGCCTAAAACTTGAGTGATTTTGACTAGTAAAACTTTTGACTTTATAGTTAACTGTGGAACTTTATTGCATAACTTTAATTGCCTTCGGATATAATGACATTCTAATTTAATTTTGCACCAAAAATATGAAGGGAATTTACAATGCACTTACCAATATACAATTTTGACTATTTTGAGTAGGGATTATGAATTAAACAGTTGGGTTTATTAGCTAGGCATAGGAATCCGAAAATAGAATTTGTTCTGATAAACGATTCACTGCAATAGGAAACTTTGAAAAAAAAAACTTGATGTTCATGAAATAGAATTGTTGTCTTTAAAATAATGGAAAGTTGTTAAAGGAAACTTATAATAGAATTTGTTCTGATTAAATAAACTATTAAATGGAATAGGAATTTTCGAAAAAAAATTTGATGTTCATGAAATAGAATTGTCTTAAAATATTGGAAAGTTGTTGTTCATGAAATTAATTTTGAATTAGGATTTTTATTTTTCAAGTAAAAATTATTGTAAGGTTTTATAAGAATAATATAGTAATACCTATATTGATAAACCAATAGGTAATTATTTTGGGTTTTCATAAGCGCAGTCAGTAGAGGACTTGAAAATTTTAAAGAATTTATATAAATAGGTGAAGGGTAGTTAATAGGAATGAATCGGAAGTGTTGAAATGAGTTAACTTATAAGTTTTTAGGAATAGTAGGAATAGGGCATTTCTTATTTAGTAGGGATATTTCAGTGGTCCGTAATAATAACATTTTGAACGGATGTGAAGTAAATGAATTTTAGAAAAATAGTTGAGGCTGTCAGAGTTGGGAGATATTTTGCTGATTTAAATTTTTGGGTTTTATGTATAATAAAATATAATTTTAGTACACCTCAATAGTTTGTTTCTCTCTCTTGCAAATAGACCCTTCCACAGATTTAGGTAGCAGCTCCAAGTAACTAAACACCATCAATATACCGCTCGCCATTTACCAATACCAATGTCTGTCAAAATGGAGGTCTACCAATGTATTCTTGTGTAAGTTAACACTCAAGTGATTTATGGCACAGAAGACTTGGCCACTTGAATAGAAAGGCAATGCAGTTGCTGGCAAGTATGTCTACTGGTTTGAACAAAATAAATATATCTTCAGAGCCGT